ATTCTGCCTCCATTAATGCCTTGAACTCAGCTATGCAATTATGATCATTGCTTGTATATAGAACATCATCCACATACAGGCTAACAACCAGTATAGTTGTTCCAGCCTTTCTTATGAACAAAGTATGCTCATAGGTGCACCTTTCAAACCCAGTCTTCAAGAAATAAGACTCAATCCTGCTATACCAAGCTCTGGGAGCTTGTTTCAGGCCATAGAGTGCCTTGTAAAGTCTATATACCTTGTGTTCCTCCCCAACAACCACAAAACCAGGTGGTTGCTCAATATAGACTTCTTCAGAGAGCTCACCTTGCAGGAAAGCACTCTTCACATCAAGTTGGTAGACAGGCAGACCATGATGAGCAGCAAAAGCTAGGATGGTTCGAATGGTGTCCCACCTGGCTACTGGAGCAAAGACTTCAGTGTAGTCAATTCCAGGCTTCTGAGAGTACCCTTTAGCTACCAACCTTGCCTTTCTTTTGTCCATAGTATCATCTTCTTTAAGCTTTGTTTTATACACCCATTTGATGCCAATAGGTGTGATTCCAGCAGGTTTGTCTGTTAGTGTCCAGGTCTTGTTCTTTTCAATTGAGTTGAACTCCTGGTATATGGCTGCATTCCACTCAGGATCCATAGCAGCTTCCTCATATGTTTGAGGATCTCCTGAGTCAGCCATCATAGCCATCCAAACTGTATCTGCCAAACCACAGTCATAAATAGATAAGTGAGCAGGTGGTGTTCTTACCCTTGGTCCCAAATCTCCACTTGGCCGTCCCAACACATCAGTAGAGGTGTTAGGGACTTCTTCATCACTCTCTTCTCCTGTGGTAACAGCTGCAGGAGTTTTGGGACTAGGTGGTTGTTCATCTGCCAGACTGGTTGATGCTTCCTGCTCAATTTCAGCTTCTGAGTCAGAATCCTCCCAAACATCATCACTTCCTTCCCACAACAGTTGAGTCAAGACAGGTTGAATCTCTGAGTTCCATGTCCACCCTTTGCTTTCATCAAAAACTACATCCCTGCTGATGATGATTTTCTTGGTGACAGGATTATACAACCTGTAAGCTTTAGACTCACTAGAAATTCCCAGAAAATAGCACTGTGTACTCTTATCATCAAGCTTCTTTCTGTGCTGATCTGGAATATGAACATATGCTACACACCCAAAGATTCTGAAATGTGAAACTGAGGGAGGATTACCTGTCCAAAGTTCCTGTGGATTCTTTCCCTGATTGGCCACTGTGGGACTTCTATTATGAACATGAGTTGCCTAAGTAACTGCCTCAGGCCAGAATGCAGAAGGAACTTTGGTATCTTGAATCATGCATCTAACCATATTCATTATGGTTCTATTCTTCCTTTCAACTACCCCATTCTGCTGAGGGGTTAATGCAGCAGTAAGTTGTCTCTGGATGCCAGCTTCATCACAAAGACCCTTGAATTCATTTAACATGAATTCTCCTCCCCTATCTGTCCTAAGACACACAACTGCTAGGCCAGTTTCTGTTTCCACTTGAGCTTTAAACTTTCTAAACATGCTGAGTGTTTCTGACTTAGCTGATAAGAAAAATACCCATAACTTTCTGTTGTAATCATCAGTCAGAGTAAGTATGTATCTTTTACCTCCATTAGACATAGGGGTGAGAGGACCACAGAGGTCAGCATGAAGTAGTTGCAGCTTTTGGGAGGCTCTCCAGTTACTCTTCTTGGGAAAGGGCTGTCTTGTTTGCTTCCCCACCAGACATGTGGAGCAGACTCCAGTATCTCAATGCATCAATGGAAGCCCTTGAACCAGGTTTTTGCTCTTCAGTAATTGCAACCTTTGCAGGTTTATGTGACCAAACCTCCTGTGCCATAAAGATAGAGGTGACTCAGCAGCTTTTGAGGTCTGCAAACAGTGCAAACTTTTGGTTTCAGTCACAGCATTTGCATGAAGTGCAAACATTCTATTGGACTTCATTTCAGTTTGGATCAGCAGCCCCTTCTCCTCATGAAACACCTTGCAGCTTCCATTCTTGATCAAGAAGGCCAGGCCCTTTTCTTGCCATTGACCTATGCTTAGAAGATTAGACTTCAAAGCTGGCACATAGAAGACTTCCTGTATAGTAATGGGAAGTTGATTGACAGTGAGCTTCACTGTCCCTTTTCCTGCAACATCAAGCCTGGTATTGTTGCCAAGCCTGACATTACATGCTGAATTGGTAGTCAAATCAACAAACCACTTCTTATTGCCAGTCATATGATTGCTGCAGCCTGAATCAAGAAACCACCAGTCTTCACTGCCCTTGTCACATGAGTCTTCTACAGAAGCCATTAGCAGCATGTCATCCTTCAGATCCCCAAAACTCCTGTCCTTAACATGGCTGGTGTAATGAGCCTGATGAGTGGTATACCACTCTGGACATTCATTTCGGTAGTGGCCCAGTTTATGGCATTTGAAGCATTCAACAGTATCCTTACTCCAGCCTCCTCTTCCTCCTCTACCTCTTCTTCCTGGATAGAAGCCTCTACCCTGGCCTCTTCCTCCCCTACCACCATAATCAAATGTGGTCTTAAGAGCTTGTTCATCATCTGAAACTCCCTTCCTGGTAAACTTCTGCTCATGAACCACCAAGGAACTCTGCAGTGCATCCACATTAAGGAGTTCAATATCTTTGGACTCCTCAATTGAGCAAACTACATAGTTGAAGCGTTCAGTGAGAGTACTCAATATCTTTTCCACAATCTTCCCATCTGGCATCTCTTCTCCACAGCTTCTCATCTCATTGGCCACTGTCATGACCCTGCTGAAATAGGCAGAAACAGTCTCTCCCTCCTTCATCTCCAACACCTCAAAGGTTCTTCTGAGAGCCTGCAGCTGAGCTTTCTGCACTCTAACACTACCCTGGCACTTCAACTTCATCGAATCCCAAAGTTCTTTGGCAGTAGCCTTCTTAGTAATGGTTTTCAGGATGGCTTTGTCAATGGAATTGAACAGATAGTTCTTAGCCTTAAGATCCTTTAACCTCATTTCATCTAAGAGCTTGGACTCACTTGCAGAAGGCTCCTGACCTGGGGCAGGCTCCTGAAACCCAGCTTGCACCACTCCCCAGTATTCCTTGGAGCGAAGGAGGTTCTCCATCAGCATGCTCCAGTGGTCATAGTCTCCATCAAACTTAGGAAGCCCCACCTGTGCAAAGCCTGTGTCACTCATGATTCTGATTCTTTTCACAAAATCTTGCACACTCTCGTGATCTGTTGAAACCTCTCACCAGTGTTGAAACACTCCTCACCAGATTCTCTCGTGTTTCCCAAACCCACACTCCAAATCTGTAGTTCTCAATTACTCACGTTTGCTTGATAGCCTTTGGTTACAGTTTGCAAGAGCTCTGATACCAAATGTGAAAACTCTTTGTGATGCAATCTGACAAATCTGTTTATTGACTCTCGAAGGAAACTAAATACAAGAGATTCCAGCCACTTAATCCGGTTCCCACTCTCATACTAAGTAGCTAACAAACCCTCCACTAACCAACTAACTATGCTGCTGGAACTTGCAGCTCAAGACTCGATTCTGGACTCAATTGACCCTATACTAAGACTCAAGGACTCAAGACGCAATTAACCAAAACGACTCAGCATTGCACAGCAGTGCTTTATTGACACAACAACTAAAACGACGCAGCAACATGCAGCAACATAAAACGACACAGCAGCAGCTTCAACTTAAACCTTCGCGCCAATCCATCCTCGCGCCAAATCTCCTTCTTCCTTCTAACAGTTCCTCCAATGCAGACTGTTCGTCTCTTATTGGGTCATCAATGGCAATATGACCGAGTGGTTATTCATGATGGAAGGCACAATAGCTACCAGTTCAAGAAAGGAGAACAGAAGTTTCTACTGAATCCACTATCACCAACTGAAGTCTGAGCCAATCAACAACATATGGAGCTGAATTGCACAAGGGAGACAGGAAATGGAAGTGGTTCGAAATCGGAAGGCGGAAGTGAACTCATATTTTGGCTCGAGGGCACATGATGACTGCGCTAAGGAGAACTCCATTTGGAAATTTTGTTGATGTTATCTCTTGCAGGAAGACACAATCTTTGAGGGCAAAACTTCTCCAACGGGGAGGGACTGATGTGAGCCCCGGCGTGACCAGCAGGGCGGACGAGAAGGTCGATACCTTGTCACCTGGTACAAATCCCTCGATCGGGGAAGCACGCGAGGAACCAAGGAAGTGGACGAAGGAATCCCGGGGAGGCAGCCAATTCCCCGACCGAGGAATGTGAGAGGCGACCGGGGATTGAAGGCAGAAGGGCCCCCGGTCGAGTGAGCGATGACCCCAGATCAAGGATCTGAAGGGGGTCCGATCGAGGATCGGGCCTGGGCAGACAAATGTATCTTTTTCCTTGTTTGTTTTGGTTATTTTATCGGTTCTTTGAGCTTTAGGCTTGAGAATTGTTCTCTGTATCAATCAAATTTTCCCTTGATTGTGGTCGAGATTCTATCTTTTTATATTGTTAGAGCCTTCTCTCATCTTTGTGTTGAGATTGCACTTTCAATTCCACCACATCCCAAAACAAAAATCCTAAAATCCTTTAATCATTACGGATACCGGATCCGTGCTCTTATCAATGTGTGTGCCCTTAAATGTTGATAATGACAAGTGTGTCCTTCCATTGTACTTGTGGTCAATCCTTTCAAGAAAACAAAATTTTCTTGTTAGCTAAAATTAATATTAGCATGGTGCTAGGTAAAAAAAATGTTAGCACCTAACACAACGAAGTCAGTATAGACTGCTAATAGTATGCCTAAAAAAATAACTTCGTTTCTGTCCAGCAGGATTATCGCATAAAATATTAGTTTCTCTCAAATAGATACTCCTATAGCTAAGACGATCGGCAAGATTCCAGGCACGAAAGAAATGTTGTAGCCCTGCTCCAACAAGAAGAACACAGGCCTCTAGAACCCGGAAGGGATCAGTGCCGCCTGTCTTTCCTTTGTTGCTTTCTTGATAATGGCGTCTACCCACTTCGCTCACCAGATCGCGACGAATTGGGCGATTGGAAGGTACCTTCTTTGCTTAGTATTTATACCGCCTTCAACAATTCAACACCCCCATTGAGCTGAAACAAACCATTTCAGGTTTCTCGATTACGGGTGGAATAGCAAGAGCAAGAACAAGATGGCAGAAGCGAGATGGTCTCTCAATGGCATGACCGCGCTAGTCACTGGTGGAACCAGAGGCATCGGGTACACATCAAATTGATCTTTGCTTGCCTTTCTTTCTCGCAATCACTCTGTTCTGCCAATTCTCTCTCAATCTGAGAAATTTGCTCTGTTTTTTCACAGGTACGCAATCGTGGAGGAGCTTGCTGGGTTTGGGGCCAGAGTGCACACGTGTTCACGCAACGAGAAAGAGCTCAACGACAGAGTGCTGGAATGGAAGAGCAAAGGGCTCCAAGTCACCGGCTCCGTCTGCGACTTGAGCTCCGTCTCCGACAGAAAGAAGCTCATGGAGACGGTGTCTTCACTGTTCGACGGGAAGCTCAACATCCTCGTACGCTCCGGAAACGCTTCACTTCCTCGCGAATTCATTCATCGAATCGCGCGCAGTCGATTAATTTGTATATCATGTATGTGGTATTGGTGTTCACATAGGTGAACAACGCGGCTAGCATCGTCATGAAAAGCTGCCTGGATCACACATCAGAGGATTACTCGAGCGTGGTTGGCACCAATCTGGAGTCGCCGTACCATCTCTGCCAATTGGGACATCCTCTGTTGAAAGCTTCGGAACAGGGGAGTGTCGTATTCATCTCCTCTGTTGCTGGGTTGGTTTCTTTGCCAATGGTGTCCGTTTACTCAGCAACCAAAGGTATCATACATAACCAAATTCATGACCCTTTTTTCCCAGGTGATGGTATCATCTTCAAATTGCTACCAAGTCGAAAACTCGATAAGTTCGAGTTGATGATTTTTCTTGAGGATATCAATGTGCAGGGGCAATCAATCAATTGACGAGGAGCTTCGCATGTGAATGGGCAAAGGACAACATACGGACCAACGCAGTGGCTCCCGGTTCAATCAGGACCACGATGGCAGAGCCTGTAACTTTTTTTTTTTTTTCTTTCTCTCAGCTAGCCTACTTCCTCAGCTTTTCATACCAATGCTTTTTATCTGTGTTTGATGTTTTTAATACTGTTGTGGGTTGTAGGATCCTGAGACGATCAAAAGATACACGGGTTTCTTCAACAAGATTCCGGTGAGCCGAATGGGAGAGCCGAAGGAGGTGGCTTCAATGGTGGCGTTCCTTTGTCTTCCAGCTGCTTCTTACATCAATGGCCAGGTCATTGCCGTCGATGGTGGATTTACGGCGAATGGCTTTTAGCTACGACTGAAAAACTAAAAGAAAAAAGGAAACTGTGTAACAATCCTTTGCTTGTAAAAGCTATACATATATACAAGAAAATAAAAGTAATCAAAACCACCATTGAACTATATTTCTATGATTTCAACGAGCTAGACAACTAGTACTGAAGGTTGCAGCTCAAAACGAAAATCGTATTTGTATCAATGGATGCTCTATTCTTCAATTGATCAAAAAATATTTTCATGCTACTGGCCTACTGCAATATTCTAACAGCTTATAATGCCTGCAATAAATATTTCAGGGCTTACAAGAATCGCATCAATATCACCAGTAACTTATTCGTGTAGTTTTGTTTTGTTCTATTTGACCATATCGATACCAGCAGCTTGTTTACAACAACTTTTATTACTTTAGTCCATGAAGTCCTTTGGTTCAGTATCAAACTCCTACCCCAAAAAAAAAAAAAAAAACTCCTACATGATAGTGAACTTTTTAATTGTAGCTTCATGTTTTACTTTCTTTTCAGCTCATGACTTCCTCTATTTTCTCATGAACGTATTTTGACATTACAATCAAGTGGTTTCTCAGTTGGAGCTCTTTGTCTATCATGTTTAATTGAATTCCCCTCCTTCATTGTAATGCTCTGTTTTATTGTATTCATCTTGCCTTTCCCAGTTATACAAAACAAAACAAAAAGATAGCAAGAGGTTGTCATATAAAACACAGTGGCAACTGGCAACTCAACCAAGTTGGATAACCCATATGGCAGGAATAATTACGTTTCCATACCCACCATTAAATTTTGGAACCGAAAAGATAATGGATCAACAAAAGTTAGAATAAAGTGGTTTAGTTACGACAAATATTACCTAAGTGGTCAATGTGCATCAGGATATAATTTAGTGGCATCAAGTGGATCTAACCCTAAACTTAGCACCGGGGAGTTGTTTTTTCTTTTGATTGTTGATTTGTAGAATGACAATTTTGCTCATACTCATGAGTATTTTACTATTCAATCCAATTGGGTTGGGTATGAAATCTAAATATATGGGTAGATCTGCATATTTAGTATCTAATTTTTGTTTTTTTCATACAAGTCCTCAAAATATTGATAGAAAATAACATTATAGTAACAAAAAAAATTATCTTACATTTTGGTACCTGAACTTTTGAAGTTTTACAAATAGGTCAATTTTTTGTATGTGTAGTTAAAACATCCTCAATTAAATGGATATCCATATCCAACCCATATCCATTTAGATTATGGAAGCAATATCCAACATTTACTCAAACTCATCAACAAACCCCCAAATCCATATATATATACCTCCTCCATACTCACATTATCAATGAGTCTATTTGGGTTGGTTATAATTATTCATGAGTGGGTAATTGCCATCCCTACTAACTTGTCTGTAACACCCTAGACCGGCTGGTCAATCAATCTCCCAAAATGCGTTTGGGAATCATAAATAAATCATTCAAACTTGGAATAAAACATCGAAAATCATCCATAAACAAAATCCAAATCCCAAAATAAAAATACTCTGCACCTTCCCTATAATTCTCTGGTTAAGTGGTTATGGTAATAGTTTTGGCATTGGAATGGAATCCTGATATGTGTCAATGGTCGTTGCATCCTCTAGGTAGGTGCAAGAGAAGCAGAAAGCTTCCGAACAGGGGAATGATGGATTGATTGTAATGACTACTAATGTGTCTCTCGCCGGAACTATGAATTTCAGATCTTGCAAATGTGTCTCTCACTCACAAATAGGCACTTTGACAGATCAAAAGAAAATCTTATACTTTCCCTCTCAAGGCTTTCATCTCCATGAAACATTTTGGTTATGACATTGAATGATAAGTAGTTCTACAAATAAGAATTAGGAAGAGCTACCGCGCCATTAGGCCTGTTAGCAACAGATACGAAACAAAACTGAAAGAGAGAGGTGCGAAAGGAAATGAGAGGGTAGCCTCACATTTCCAGTAGGCTTTCTTCCTCCTATATCTTAGTAGTAATCATATAACTCGGATACAAAATTATCATCAGCCCAGGCGTGCAATAGTAAAAGGGAGCACTGACAAATTCCTTCCAGGCGCTGCAGAACTTCAATGCGGCAGCCACATTTTGCAACAACATAATAGTAATGATGCGACAACAACTATACCATCAACTATCTTCCATTCAGCCATCCTCCATAGTGAGCAAAGGGTCCGACTTGAGCACACCTTACTTCTCATGAACTAGAGGACTGTAAACAGGGTACCACATGTTACGCCTAACATACTCCACCGTCTCCTCCTGCAACCGGATGCAAATTAGTTACAGTCGCAACATATCGATCACTGTGGCCAGCCCATAGGACCGGAACTTATCAAACACGAATCAAATTTTCATAGGGTAGGACGATGATACACACATTTGACATCTGTTTCATCTCCTTGGGCCCCACGTCACCGTGTCCTTCTGCGAGCTTTTCAGACACTGCTGATCGGAGAACAGCAGCTCCAACCTCAGCCGTGATGTCCCGAATACTGCGTTATGAGCAATGCTTTATATTGAACAATTATTAAAGATCAAGAACTTCAACCATCATCTTGCTTTCCATGTCCCTGGCAGTTTACTTATGACGAAGCTAGGGATACAAGGGGGGCTGCTTGTTTCTACTAACTCAACCCTTCATAGTTCGGGTGGTTAATTAAGAGGACAAACAAAGTCTTTTTTCCACTAGAAAAACACAAATATGGATGAGACCCAATCTGTGTTTTACTAATTTTAATCCCTCGCTCTATTTGTTTCACTACAACTTACATAACTTATTTGGGCAACTAATCCCAAACAAACAGCCTGAAGTATACAATCAAACAAGTTGATGATGCAGTTAGCTTCTAACTACAAGATTTACCTAACTACCAACCGCTTTCCATCTGAAACTGGAAAAAATAAATCTAGTTTTTTCTCCAAGTATCCGATCTACAGAACTAATAGTAAAACGGTCTGGTATAATACCTGTCAATAGATGGGTACAAGACGCCTCTTTTGATTTCATCATCGGTCATGTAAGAAGCCAAACTGCATAGACATTATTGCCATATAAATTTCAAGAAATGTGCACAAGATAGACAAGCGAAATCATAATGTGCAGCCATTAATGTGTGCTTCATTTAGGAACACAGCCTGGAGGAAATCATAATGTGCACAAGATATACCAACTTGTAGAACCAAGGTGGTTTTGCAACCCAACTACCATGAACAAGGTACAAGGAACACAGCATGCAAACGGATAAAAATGGTCCAACATCCACTAGTTCCATTAATTCTATCAATGAAGATAAGAAGGATGTTGATTCATTCACAAATTAGGACTCCATGAAGGCGAGAGATTAAATGATTGAATCCGTACCATTCTGCAGCTGCTTGCAACATGCCATCTGATATAAGGCGAGCACCTGAAAGAAGTGCTCCAAGACCAACTCTGAAAATAGGAGAAACTTTGGGTTGTAGTAAATCACAGTTGTTTTATAAGAAGAACTCGTTGTCTAAAATGGTAAAGTAAAAAAATGCTGCCAAGATTCATCTATCCCCCCCCCCCCCCCCCTCCCCCTTTCATTCTTGCAGCACTTTTGAATCCACAGGACCATGTTTTCATCGTGCTGTTGGTATTATATGGATGGTAGAACACTATCTATAAACAATTTCATTTCTGTTCTCTGTTCGTACTTACTATTGGTATTATAAAGCTTCCTCGTTAAAAATAATCCAAAATTTCTAACATATACTTCCAAAATTTCTAACATCATCTCATGGCTGAAACATCTGTAAATAATAATCCATACCCAGGAAAAAGGTACATGTTATTGGCCTGATTTACATGCCCAACTCTGCCGTTTCCTGCACAGTACATAAACATATAGAGGTAAGGAAAATGCGTGGAAGCAGAAGATCATAGATTAATTTAGGAACAAGCCGAATAAATTAGGAATGCAGGGATTAGTAAGCTGCAAGACATGACTACTCAAATCTATAAAAGATCCAATGAAATAGGAAATTACCAAGATCAACATTTTCAAATGGACTTCCACTTGCAAAAACTATGTTATCTCCAGCATGCTTAAAAGCATCAGCGGCTGTACATTCAGCTGTTCCACAGATTATCCAGTTAGATTGTCAGCAATAGAATTAGGTGACATCATATACCATGCAACATATGGAGCTTGCCAAGACACACCGTTCATTGTAGGATTTGACATTGCAAAAATTGCAGGTCTGGGAGAATCGGATCCTCGCATGGCCTTAAGTACCTGATTACGGAAGAAAGCCAAACAATTTCCAGCTCAAAAACAGAGAAAAAGAACTTATTCAGTTTCCAGAAAAGTTCAGGAAGAAAGCCACTACAGAAACACCATTTTCTTCTCAGGAAGTTATTGGATTAAAACATCCAAACTGGAGAAAGTTATCTTCTTTCACAAGAAAGAAAAACCATCATATCTAACATACATGGGATAAAGAAAGGCGTGTACATTATCCACTGCCAAATTGTAATTTGCATAGTAACTAATCTGTCTGTATAATAGCTTATTAATCATATTTTCTCATGCTTGTTCAAACTTCAAATACAGCAAGGGCTTTACCTCTTCGTTGAAGATTCCACCTACTCCAGATAAACCAAGAAGCACGTGGGGCTTCAGTGTTTTAACCTGAGGATCATTTAGTCAACACCATGAGGTGAAGGTAACACTACTTTATAAACAATTCAAGCACAGTTAAATGTGGTTTAACAGTAAGCATTTTGTCTGTTGCAATTATCTAACACAGAGACCTTCCCTCATATAGCAATAATAGCTTACCACTTCAATCAGACTTGAGCCTTCCCTAAGCCCCTCAACATCTGTCAATTCTTTTGCAAATGGTGCTGCGGCTGGATCAAGATTCTTTCTAGCTTTAGTGATAAGGCCCTATAAGAATGAAAATTATCATAATTTAAGTTTTATGAAAAATCTATGGCAATTTCTTAACATAGCAATGCACACAGTATACCCAACCATTAATACAAATGAGCCAGAGAAAAAATATATAGGGAGAAGTCCGGGACAATACATCTTTGTCAAGCACGAAAAACTGCTTTTTAGCTGAAGTTTCATTGTTTCCAGACATTCTAGAAACAGCTTGTACAGCCATCTTCAATACACCTAGCCCAGCACTGTGAGCCACAAACGAAAGGGAGAATAGTATAAGGAGAATATACACAAGCATGATACAGATATTCTATTTCTACCATATCGGTTTTGAGCATGTACCTTCCTGCTCCCACTACCACTATCTTTTGGTTTGAAAAGTCAGACAATGGGCGGCCTTGTGCTCTCACTGTGCCAAGCAAACCTGCAAGTGCTACACCGGCAGTTCCCTGCAAGAGATGCAGGTCAGACAACAATAGGAAGAAACCCTACCACTTAGCCAAAAGGCATGACTTTTGAGAAACACACCTGTACATCATCATTGAACATGCAAAACCTTCCACGGTATCTTTCCAGTGTTTCAAATGCCCACTTGGCTTGAAAGTCTTCAAACTGAGAAGGTAATCACGAACATCTAGTTAATTGTATCAAAAGACTATGCATTATCCCATAGGCCATACTTTCAAAAAGAAAGAAACCTGCACAATAGCCTTTGGCCAACGTGTGTGTACAGCTTCCATGAACTCATCAACAATTGCCAAATACTCAGCACCTTCCAGCCTGGGCTGCCGAAGTCCCAAATCTGCCAACTTAAGGACATTACAAACTGAATAAAAGGTAGAAGTCTATTGAACAGGTTTAAGTCCCAAATGGTGAATAACAAGGAACATAGTTCACTCACAAAGAGGATCTTCGAGCAGCTTTTTGTTGTTAGTACCAACATCTAGCATTATCGGGAGAACCTATTAATTCTGAAACGGTTATTTGAAATCATGGTAATAAACAAATTTTAAACAGAATTTCTACTTATATATGTGAATGTAGCTACATAAGAGAGTGTAGGACAATCGATGAATAAATAAATAAATAATTAAGAAAGCATAAGAAACAATTATCAGAGTCCCAAAGCCACGGATGTGTTTTTGTGTCCAGCATACTCCCAATGAATGACCAGTACCAAAATTGTGTGACCACCATATATGGAGTTTTGTTCAAAAATAAAACAGTACATATGAAGAATGTGAAACCACCACGAAAGGGGAAGAGAGAAAGTGATACACACCCTTTGTGGGTTGATGCCAGCAGCAGCAACATACATGTCAAGTTTCCCAATGGGAATACCAATTCCTTGAACACCAAGATCACCTAGCCCAAGAATGCGACTACCATCTGTTATGACTATCATATCTACCTGGAACGAAGAGCAGAATTCAAGATTGAGGCATCAGAAGTTCAGTAAAACATCTTTCTGTTTCTGACAAGAATGGTTAGTTACTTATATGAACCTTATGCATTCATTATGGGAACGTTGCCCATGCTCAAGTCTATGGAAAAATTAAGAAATGACTACAATGATCATTAGGGAATATGTTCAGCCTTTTCATCAATGAAAAACACTTGCTTTCATCCTGGTGAGTGTATGGTTTAAATGACAACTTCAAATATTACGAGCCAACCATTTTGCAATGTTTTTTTTTTTTTTTTGTGCTCACAGAAATATTCTATAGTACCTGATGAGCTGGCCAATTATATATCATTGACATCATTTCTCCTTTATCCTTTGCACTGAAGTACATCCCACGTGGACGCCTGAATAACCCAGAGTAGTTTTGACAGACTAAGCCCACTGTTGGTGTGTAAATTACTGGAGCAAAATCTTTGATGTTATCAATAAGAACCTGTAAAGAAATAAATAAGAAATGTGGGTTTTCTTGACTTATGAAAGGATCTGTTTCTAGCACATTCATAATAGACTAGCACCGAAAACCACGTACTCGATAGTACAATGTCTCATTCCTATCATGCAGTCGGTTCAAGATCCTCCATTTTGCTAATGATACAACACCTTCAGGTTGTCCCATGGTATTTCTCTCCAAGGATCGATACGATTCCACTGTCTCGAGAAAACAAAACCTATAAGAATACGAAGAAAACAAAACCAAACGAGGAAAACAAAACTCTGGAAAGCACAAGTTATGCCATGGCTAATAAATCAAATCATCAGACTGGATAGCTACTGAAATGCTGCAGAATGCTTATCACTGACTAAAGTGATATAACATTCAATTGAAAGAACAATGAACAACACATAAGGCTAATAATGACTTTATAAATTAGAATCAGGTAACTTACTGAAGCGAGCATATTGCTGCTGAAATGATATAACACGAGGTGGAAGGAGACCACGAAGTCCCAAACGATCCCTTTCCGTTAATGGAAATCCAGTATCCTGCTCTTCAAATATAAGACAAGGAAGGGAAAACAAAACAAAACAAGAAAAGGTTGAAATACGTGAATTAGGAGGGAAAACATACACAAAGAGAGGGGGGGAAACTTCAACAATCACAAGGCTGGTTTGCCTATACCAGGGTTCCTTTTAAACAAAGCAAACAAACTTCAGACCAAACGGTAAAATCCTCCTGAACAAACTCTGTCTCCCCCCCTCAAAACTCTTGCACCCAAAGATAGCAGCAGACAAGAAATCATTTCCCATCTCCACTTTGATTGTCTGTATTCCAGGGGCACTCTCTCACCTACACTGAAACCCTCAGACTCCTGAAGGCAAGTGCTGTTCAAAATCGTTCCAAATCCTACATTACCAACACTAACATCTCCCAAATCCTTGGAATTCAACAATCCAGCTAAATTGGAGAACTCGGGAAAAATCGCAATAAGAAATGGAAAACGGCCTGATCACGATCAACCTCAAAACTATATAAACAAAACTCGTGTAGCTAAGCAAGGAAGAGGGGAAGCGAGGTTCCGAACCTTGTTGAACCAAGGATCGTGAAGGATGTCGGCGCCGCGTTTGTGGACGATACAGGGCAATGGGATGGCGGTGGAGAAAGGCCGCGCTCGGCGGAAATTCGAAGCAGCAACAAGTCGCGCGAGCTTCCACATTCCTGTTCCCGCGTCGCAGTCGCACTTAACCAGGAAAATGAAAATTCCAAGATCCCCAAGCTAGAATCACTCCTGGCCAGCAGACTGCTTCCTCTCCGAACAAGGATGGGAAAATGAGTCGGAAGAAATTCCCAAACAGAAAGAGCCTTCAGAGCTGCGCAATCAAGAATTCAACCAAGCTCTCGCGAACGAGATGAGATCAGGGAGGGAGGGAGGAAGGTAGCGGGTGGAGTGACGAATATGTAGACCAGTCCTTGCTTGGCTGAGTTTATTTATAGTCAATTAAATAAAAACACTCCCTGAAAAAAATAATTTAATATGAGCTTCAAATAGTAAAAAATAAATTAGATTATTTTTCAGGCATCACCGCATCACGTCAGCCACCAAAAATAAACTAGATTATGGTCCAACCCGAGCCGTAAAATTTAATTTGATAAACTGAAGCTCAACAATTTATACTTCATTAGAAACCTGAACAATTTATACTTCATTTGTAGTCACATTGGATAAAATTAAAGAATGTCATAAACATTCTTATGCAAAATTATTCTATCAAATATCAATTATTTTAAAAAGAAATTCGCTTGAAAATATTTGTGAATTATTAGTTTTAAATATTTCATGTGTTGTCAAAGGATCAAATTAATCATTTTGGATTTGACGTATAATCTATTGTAATTTGTAATTTGTTTGATATTACCCAAGTCAGGAGGTAGTCTAGACATTATTTGTTCTTCCCATATAAACCTCTTCATTTCACATTGACCTATTATTATGATTCACATGATTAGGTGATTTTGGTCAAATGAATCATTTTTGGGTTAGCCTTACCAATCCATGCATTGTTGTTTGGTATTGCACATGCCAGGGGTAGTCTGGACATTGTTTGTTATTTTCCTCTAAACCTCTTCATTCAACATCACATTGACATATTATTATGATTCACGTGATTAAGTAATTTAAGTCTATTTAGTGTACCGTGCCAAATGAATCATTTTGGATTTGGCTTACCAATCCGTTTAATTTGTATGCTATTGCACATGTAGGAGGTAGACTGAACATTTGTATCAATGTCCCTTCCAAATCTAAGAAATTTTATTGATTGGTGAGTGTAATCAGTAGACTCGACATTGTTTATGGTTCACATATTAGATAACTTAAGCACTTAGTCAAATGAGTAATGTTGTGTTTGGCTTGTCAAGAGGTAGTCTGGACATTGTTTGTTCTTCCCCTCTAAAATTCTTCATTCCACGTCATATTAACGTATTATTTTGATTCACATGATTACGTAATTTAAGTCCCTTTAGTGCATCAAAAGAGTCATTTTAGTTTGGCTTACAAATTCATGTATTTTATCTGTTATTGCACATACCACTACACTAGGAGTTAACTTGGATATTGGCGTCAATGCCCCTTTTATATAAAAGAAATTTGGTTGATTAGTTAGCCTACTTAGTAGAGCCTATGACGAAATCAAGTCGCTTGGATGAGTCTTTCAAATTGAACAATTTAGCCAAATTGCCTCAAATGAGACAATCTGGTCAAATTGTCTCATTTGGCAAACAAAGAAACTTCAACCAAAGCAATTGGGCATGGGTAGGGGTGGGTATTGGTTTGACCAAACCGCTCCAAATCGCCCCAAACCGCTTATGCGGTCAATCCAAACCGCATCATTAAACTAACGGTTTCATTTGCGGTTTGATCGTTAAGTGCTTGGCGGTTCACGGTTCGGATTGACCCAAACCGCGCGGTTGCGGTTTGAAACCACAATCCGCTAAGATCGAGTACGCAGAAGTGAGAAGTTGAAACCACAATCCGCTAAGATCGAGTACGCCTCTTCTCAACACACGACAGCAGCTTTCCTCTCGGCGACGACGCCATCTTCTTTCCGGCGGCACCATCTTCTCTCCACGGCGCCATCTTTGATGAAGGAGCGGACCTTCAGATTGGCCTTGTTCCTCTTCCTCTTCGTCTTCCTCGTCTCCATCACCTTCTTCTTCCTCTCCAGCGGCAAGACCGTCGACCTCCCTTACTACTTCTCCCTCTCCGATCGCTCCGACGTCTCCGTCGATCCCGGCGGCGGCTCCACCGATTCCGATGCCAACGACGCCCCCGTCCCTCCCGGCAAGGACTCCCCGGCTCTCAAGGCCACGAAGTCCAACTTCCCCACCCCGCCGGCCCTCGACATTGCGTGGCGGCCCTGCGAGGGAGTCATGGCGGTTGATTTCATCCCCTGTTTGGATAATACTGAGGCAATCAAGCAGCTCCAGTCCAGAAGGCACATGGAGCACAGGGAGAGACACTGCCCTAAACCGGCGCCCCTCAGGTGTTTGGTCCCTCTCCCCAATGGATACAAGCGTCCTCTGCCTTGGCCTAAAAGCAGAGACATGGTAAATCGATTCATTCTTCTTACAGTGATCTAATTTAGAAATCTGCTTTACGGATCTAATTTAGGCCGAGCTAATTGATGAACTAACCATGGTCGAGTATTGGTTTCTGTTGACTGATGTTAAGGATTGTTCATGATTCTAACAAAAGATTGACATTGATGTGGTTATTATAAGCTCAAAGTTCTGCACTTTTCATGACAGCTAGCTAAATACACTTCCAACACAGAAAGATGGAACTTGAAGAACACTTTGCACCAGCTGCATAATTTTTATTTAATTATGTACAAACCATTATAGATATACTACTCTGTTTTGGTGGCAGGAAACTGAGTAATTTTTATTTATTATGTACAAACCATAATGAATTGCGGTCAAGATGCGGTGCGGTTTAAACCGTATCAAACCGTTAATTTATGCGGTTTGGTTTGACCGCACCGATAACTTAGCGGTCGAAATGCGGTGCGGTTTATATCAATGCGGTGCGGTGCGGTTTATATCATTGCGGTGCGATGCGGTCCGAACCGCACCGATACCCACCCCTAGGCATGGGAATTTCATATTTTTCCGTTATGGGTCAACTAAAATAATATGGGTATGGGACAGACAATTGGAACTGGCTTGATTTTACAAAATCATACCATTAACCGAACCACAATTGATCAAATGAAGTTGGGTGATGTACCACTGTGGTACACGATAAATCACTTGCATGTGAATACATCATTGATGATGTTTAATTTTTCTTCAAAATACACCAACGTGGGTATCATTGTATTGATCTCGTTGAATTGGATTTTCAATGAAAAAAAAAATCAAGTTCAAATGAATAAGATATAAGTCATTTAAAATTGATTGGGAGGAAAATGAAGGAGAGAGCGTGACATGTGGAGTATTATGGTTGTACATTATAAGGAACAGGGAGGTCTATTGACGTAAATCTAGAAAGTGAAGAAAGTGAAGAAAGAGTTTTTTTTATTAGTTGGACTCGAATCTATTGATTGTCAACATATCCAAATAGTCGAGATCAAATCCACATAGTTTGATTGTTTAAACAACTTTTGTAAAAAGGAACTTAACAAGTTCTATTGATTCGTATTTAAGGTTTGAGTTATGTGAGAAAATATATTTTGGCCTTTTAACGTGGTAACCAAGGTTGTCAACCCGCAGGCTGACCCGGACCCGGTCGAACTAGTTGGTCAAGGATTAATGGGTCACCCGTTTTAACCCGGAAATATGGAAAGAGTCATTATATTGTACTTATCCTGATAAATTATATCAAATCTCATCTAACATATGAGTTATAACATATAATATTACACCAAAATAACATGTCGTACTTAGATCCAACATATAGTGAAAATTCACACATATTTATATAACATCAATATTCAAATGTTCAACTTAGAATTCCAAAGATTGAGTTAGGCGAAAAGAAAAATCGAAAAATAGGCGCATTTCGCAAACCAAATAAAAACATGACACAATTTGACCTCCAACCCGATACCTTGTAGCGATCGACCCGCCGATTGCGTGCGACCTATTTTTGATTTTTCTCACCGGGCTAGGGCCAAAGCGGGTTGACCCGCAGGTTGACAACCTTGATGGTAACTGAGTGATGTAACCTTTTTTAATGTGAATGACTAGCACTTCATATCATGATTTTGGAATAAAAACGAAAAATGCCAAAAAATTTATTAGTTGTTGTCCCAATGTAGCACGCTACGAGCCTATGACTATCTGTAAATGAGTTAAAGTTTATACGTAATTTTCAAAATTTCAAATTAATTTATATGTGATTTTCGAATTTTGGCCCCTCCCACAACTAGTGTAGCTCCACCCTGAGTATAGGGAAATGTGTTGCATTACAAATCACAACATTATAATTACATTAAACATAATCATTTTTGTTGTTTGCGGATACAAAGCAATAGAACATATGCAGCTATAGGTTCAAGTATATATTATAACCTCTCATTTCATTCGAGCATAAAGAGAGATTAATTTGCTTTGACCATTGATAAAATGTTCATTTTATCAATATTCCATGAATAGGTCAAGTGGGCAGCTAGCGGCAACTTCATGAAAGGTAAGACGGAGGACGCTTTCAGCTTTGTACCGCTTTGATTATGAAGGTCAACTGTTCATTTGCCAATATTCCTGGAGATGCGTAAATGCACTGTTTGACGAGCTGCATTGTAACGTGGACATCCATATAAATGCGGTGGTTGTTGAATGGACTTGTAAACATTTGCCATAACTCATAACTCGTCTTCGGACTGCGGTGGTGAATCGGAACTGTTCTTTTTCTTAAGGTTATTTTCTAGCATAATTTTTTTTATATAATCATCTATAATTTTCATGGATGGTTTTTGAGCGCCTTATTTCGATCTTTATTTACCAAACTGGAGTTTGGATGGACCATAACGAATCAAATATAATGTGGTTCGGTCTTTAATGTTTTGAATTTTATAAATATTAAAAAAAGTTGGATCGAATTGACATTTTGACAAGAACAAATGTAATGTTGATTCGGTCATCCTAAGATGTCTTTCACTATTGAATCATAAATTTTCATCGGGATCGTTGCACACACTAAGTTATTCAAATGGGTATGAAAACATTCAAAATGATTATTTAGACTAAACTATTTCATAATTACGAAAAAGAATAGAAAGTTCATTAGATTCAAGCTTAGCACTTGAAACACAAATTATTATTCACCATAAGCATTTCGGTCTCACCTGGTTTCAGCCACTTTGTTTTCCTGACACTAAGATTTTTAGGCGTATACGTTTTTATTGCGATTATTCACCATTACCATTATTGATGATGAAGATGTAGGAGATGATTATGTTTGTGTGGATTGTAGATTCAAGAACAATTATTATGTGTTTGTTGTTTTTATTTGTGTGTATTGTTGAAACTAGAACAGTTACAATATTGAGAATTTTTAATGGACAACGGTATGTATGTGTTTATATGTGTATAAGTTCATAGTTTAGAATTCGTACCCATGGTTACCCGAATACCCGTGGTTACCCGGTGGGTAAGGTATGATTATATAATTTTCATACCCGGTGGTTATTTAGTCGGGTATTTTAGAAAGTTCTACCCGACGGGGTAGGAGTTGGTATAGGAGTCATATAGGATTTTATAGCTGGCAAAAATTATAGGAGTTATGTAGGAGTTATCATTTTTGTAATTAAAAAAAAATAACTGGCAAAAATTATGATTGATTTGGTGAAAAATAACCGCCCACCTTTTAGTCAATTCCCGAATTTTTAAATAAATGGTTTCAAATATAATTTCACAATATCGATAGTTGACGATGGGGTAAATATTAAGAAATGAATTTATTTAGATTTATCTGGTGATGTTGATGGGAGTGTGGAAGAAAACCTTTACACCATATCATAATTGTTAACCCTGGGTCGAACCGTAAAAAACCAAAATCGGCTCCCTGCTAAGGTTATAATCGACCAAAATCTCTTATAACCGAATCCGACCTAAAGGAAGCCTAATGAATGGACATAACCATTATACTAGGCAGAAAAAAAAAAAATCAAAGTCAATTCTGAGTCAAGCGACTCGACTCGATCCAACCATTTGACCCGTGACTCACGTCTCTAGACTGTCGGACCAGTTTCTACAACCTGGCATCAGATTCACCAGACGTTCTCGAAAGAAGATTTGGTTGTACATGGGGAAGGTTTTATCTTGTGGATCCCACCTAACCTAATTAAGATTTGCCTTACGTTGAACGAACGGTATTAATAATAAGGAAGAATTATTCCAATTCTGAGTGTGAACCAAAGGGAGAGGAAATCCCAGATATTATTCTATGCCCGCAGAATCGATACTTTGGACCGTTTCATGCATGGCCTGAGGAGGTTGTGGCTATTTTGTTACCTCTCTTTTTGTTGGCTAGGGGAGGTTCATACGCGGAGAAGGGAATTTTGGAAATAAGGACTGCTACTATAATAGAGAACACAGTTTTTGCTCCATTATGGGTTTATTCTCATTGAACCGAATTGGAAAACAGTTGGATTAGTAGAATCATTAAACTAGTTGAAATAGTAGTTTGGTTGATTTGATTGGACGATGGACGCAACGGTTTTACATGCAATCAAATGAACAACTTTGGTTTTGTTTGACTGGTATATTGGTTCACAATTTTAACCACAAAAATTGGGGAAAAAAATACTTTAACATAAACTAAATTAGTGTATTATATGCTTCATTTTTTTCTTCATTTCTCAGCCTCCTTATGAGCTTTATGTGGTCGACTACGGATTATCGTCCTAATTACTCATTTGAATTTTAATAAGAATTATTATTTTAGTTTGAATACTTTGTTAGAACTTTTTTGGTGATAGACCTGAAATGTCATTATTCAGGTTTCTTTAATGGCTAATTGATTTCAGAATTCCGGTTCAGATGCCCTGCATCCCATGAAAAGGAATATAGAGCCTGCGCCCTGCTGCGACTTATCTCAGAGAACTTGATGCCGGTTCGACTTAAAACAATGGATGTTCTAATTAAACCCACCGCATGCACAAAGTGAGAACTGATTCCAAGTTGATCAACGACCGACTGTTCTTGGAAAGCTACTAAAAAGCCTGTCCTTATCATGCTTGAAGATTTGGCGGAGCACCAAAACCAAATCCCTGGCCAGTATTGCTGTCTGTCTCCTAGCTAGTTGCGGCAAACTGAGGCCGTCCTCTCTTTTTCTTCTTCTCTCGTGTAAACTTAGGCTGCTTAAGAAGATACGTTAAAAGATAAAGTTCAATTGACAACAGAAAAGAAGACATATGCGGTAGGGGTTTGCCTCAGTGATGCATTAAAGCATCCTTAGCAGAAGTGGCTAATTATCATTATTAGTATTATTCGGGCTTTTTATTAATTGTTGGATATTTTGGGTATTATTATTGGTTTATGTTTACGATTAGTACTATTAGTAGTGTCTTGTCTAGGAAGTTATCATTTGCCGTATTGTTTTGGGATTGGGTTACTTTGTCTAAAGGGGAAAGGGTTTGTGGGATTAGTCTTATAAATATGTATCTTGCCTCTACGTTTTTATCAAGTTTCCTTAGTTTTGATAGAAGAGTTCGAGAGATCTTCGACGCGTGAATTCCTTCATGCGTCACCAACACTTCTGCTTCTGCTATCTGCTAGTGGATTCCCCTTGGAACCGTGCATAGGAGCTGAGATCGAAAGCGAGGTGGAGTGATGGTCGGAGTGGCTCAGATCTTATCACGAGAAGGATTCAATCATCCACAGGTGTCTGGTTTTGATTCGATGAGCTTGAAGTGGCCCATCACGGTGGAACTCATTATGGAAGTGTTTCGGGAGATAAGCAATCAATCGACATGTCCTTCGAGAACATGATCGCCATTAATCGCGACATGATCGCTAGGGGTGGAAGTTGGTGCGATTTGTGTTAACCGCACTACATTTTGCGGTTAACTACAATCACAATTCTCTAAATACTCTAACCACAAACCGCACCACTGTGGTCAGTGATTAACCACTAACCGCTGCGATTCGGGGCGGTTAGTTTGTGGTTAACCGCAAAAACCAATTTACCAAACTCATATATTAATTTATATTTTCTTGTAAGTTTGTTATCAATAAAAAAAATTAGAGAGATATAGAGGATGACATATACCGATATACGGTAAAAAGTGTGAATCATATATAACGTACGGAAGATATATCAAATAAAATATAAACAAAAATCAAAGCAATAAAATATGTGGAGAAAATCACAGGCAAATAAAAAACATATAAAACTATTAAAGAGCAATAAAACATCAACACCAATTCAAAATAATTTTTATTCAATAAGACGTCAATAATTCAACATTTAGTAGAAGTTAGAATCTTCTATAAGTAATTACACTATACAAAATTTATAACCATACTTATTAATATTAATTATTACATACTAATACGTATAAAAATAAAAGTTCGATGAATAAGTGTGGTTTGTGTGGTTATTATGGTTTAACCGCAGTGGTTAATGGTTAACAACTAACCAAAAAATTTACAATTTTACTAACTACAATAAAACCACTAACTATCTGGGAGCTGAAGCCTACTATGACAGGCTCTTGGCTTTAGCGACAGTTACTAAAGCTAAGAGGACGGTTCAAATACAGAATGACAGTTGACACTCAGCAAAATGTACTATGAGAAGGCAACGTTATGCGCAATTTTTCTGTGCAGCAGGTTTGTGAATCGATTAGAGTTCACAAACCTTCAGTTCCCTGGTGGTTGCTCATATGGGGCAGGTTTACTCTTCCAAGAAATAGGGTTATAATGTGGCTAATCATTTTAAATCGTATTATAATGAGGGACAAGCTTAAAGCTTGGGGAAATTTTTCTGATGCAGTGTGTGCAATGTGTGCTAAGGAGGAGGAGAGTCGATATCATCTGTTTTGTGAATGTGAGTATGTTGAAAATTTGTTTACAACAGTGTTTGGCTGCCCCTTTCGAAGCTGGAGGACGGATTGGGAGCGGCTATTGCAGGAGCTCTGTGCACTGTCGAAGAAAGGTAGAGAAGGCCCTGTTGTTAGTGTTGGTTGGTGCTGGATTTCTAGTTTGGTTTGAAAGGTACATTGTAGACGTGTGTTTGGAGAGCAAGCTAAACCATATGATGTGATCCTTGTGCAATTGCGAGAGGAGATTAGACTACTAGCAATTGGAGACAACCGATTTCAGGAAGTTTTGTAGCAGAGTAGTATTATTGAAAACTTACATTTACACTTCTGAGTTGTTTTTAGTTAGTTTCGTTGTAAGATGTATATATGAGTTTTTGTGCGACTTGATCAGGTTGGTCGAGTGAGCTTGATGAGAAGACTAATTACCGAGAGGAAAAAATCCACTAACCACAAAATACGGTTAGTGGTTAACCAAACTACATGTGGTTCAATGCGGTTTGTGGTTAAACCACAAACCAAACTTACACGCATAGTAAGATTGCCACCGTGTCACTAGGGATGACAATTTCGACCTAACTTGTTTGGTATGTTTTTGGACGGGTCCGACCCGCCCCATAGGTACTCTCATCGACCCGACCTGCCCTGAACCGTTCTTGCCTAAATTACTTGTAATCTTAGTCAAATTACTTAGGATTTTCCTTTTATTACATCATATTTTAGTTATAATAAAGTTGTAAATTAGTGAAAACCTCAATTTCTTCAATAATTTAACTACATTTATCATAATATTATTTGTTTTCTTAGTCTTATAATAAAAATAATGAATATTTCTAATATTTTTCATATAAATTATCCGACCTGTAATAAATTACCCAACCTTAACTCGACCTGCTACGGGACGGGTCTGAATACCAAGAAACCCGCCCTGAACCTGCCCCACTACCATTCCTACGTCGCATATGATAAATTTGAACAGACAATAGCAATAAGGGAACAGAAATTTAAAGTGAGTGACCAATCGGACAATTTAGCTAATGACTATTGCGGTAGGAAAATTTTGCTAATGACAAAATCCGAAACACTTCTGTAAAGTCAGTGATCAATCGGACAATTTAGCACTTCCGGAGGATTTGTAGAACAAACTAAGGAACACTCCACCGTCACACGGCAAATGAGCCTGTAGTTTCATTTAGTTGGTACTGCGCAGCAAACAGATTTAGCAAGAGGTAGTCACTCCACGCATTTTCAAGCAATTTCAAGAGTCGATTTCACACCATCTTGGAAAGGAGTGGGGCGAATGCCTAGTGCTTGCACCAGATTGGAAATATCCATGGAGATATCAGCTGGAGATGACACACCCCGATCAACCTGAGAATACAAAGAACAAGTAAAACCAACCTGAGCATGGAAGTCTTGAAGCTACAGGGCTGGTTTAACTAACTCATAGAAGAATCCATCATACACCTTACAGAGAGGAATCCCAACAGTGTTTGTATACATACCGATGATGCTGAGACTGGCTTGATCAAGGATGCGTTGTACCCTCTTACTTTTGCTACAACCTCAGCCATTTCAACTCGAGAAACCCTATTTGGTCCAGCCAAATTCAGCAGTAGCTTCATTTGCTTGTCACCCTCTGCAGCCAGATCGCTAAAATTGTCAAAGCAAGCAGTATATAGCTAAAGATTCAGAGCTCGACATAGCCCATTCATATATTCATCGGTTGAAGTTCGATCCATCACCCATCGAGTTCTTTGCTTAAAGACAAAAAGAATCTACATTAACATTTCTTTCTTCTGGACCTTCTGGTGAATGGTCTAATATAATTGTTATCCTTTGATGAGGTTTCTATCAATCTTGGTAGCTAATTGCAGCAAATGATGTTGGAACTGACCTGATCTCCATCTGTGTATCAAAGACAGGATGACAGTGACAACATCCTTCACATAAACTGGGCACCGAAACTCATCGTGGAAGAATTCCACTGGTTCTCCTTTGGAAAGAACACCGTCGATCCACTGCCATCAACAGTCAGGTGAAAACAGAATACCAGCAATCTCTCAAAACGAAACAAACTGACAATGTTCCATTTGCTCACCAGACCTCACCTGAATTGGCAGAGATTTGGGAACAGGTGAAATGGTCTGAGGCCCATAGATGATGCTGCTCCTGAGAATCGCGTAATTCGAGCATTTCTCAGATATGAACTTCTCGGCAGCCATCTTTGACTTACCGTACACATTCACCGGTGCGGCTTCGTCTTCTTCCTTGTAGAAAGATTTCACCCCTGCATAAACTGATCTCCAGAAACCCCCAAAACAATTTTTTTTTTGTTAAACACTTCACCCTAGACCCGATTTGGAGCAGGCCAGCAATGAGTTCTACGCACCTTGATCTGTGGATAAGTGAATGAGAAGAAGAGCGTCCCTATCTTGGAAACTGGAGATCCAATTCACCAGTGCGGAAGGCACATTGACCGCCATGGCTGCATCTGGATCCTTCTCGCACACACGAGGAACGGAGATCGCAGCGCAGTTCACCACGATATTAGGCTGGCAAATCCGCAAATGTCGATTTTTAATTCCCAACCCAGAATCAACCAATTGAACAAACAAATTGAATCGAAGATTATTTTACGGTCTCCGCACCTGGCCGAATCGACGAGAAACAGTTTCCAGTCCGTCGCCGGTTCGCAGATCGACGTGGAAAGCGAGGCACTGGGGAACGCCGGCGAGAAGAAGCGGGGGAGGGTTTGGAGTGGAGTGGTAGGTGAATGCGAGATCGTAAGGAACGCCATCGTCGGCGATCTTTGATAGCCCTTCCAGTACGTGTTGGCCCAAGTAACCCGTGCCTCCGACCACCAGGACTTTCGTCGCCGCCCTCTCCATTCTATATCTTTCCTGCGCTTCTGCTCGAGTTCTGAGATTGCAGTGGTTAGTTAAAGCAATTGGATTGATATGTACGGGAATAATGGGGAAGTTTCTCTGTCGTCCAATTCTTTCACAACAGCTCTATGCAACTCCATGTTTCCCATATTGTTCTTTTGTAGCGTACTCATGATAGGCTGGACCTTGGATATTAGGATTGGAATTTATGGTAGAGAAAGAGGGGTTTGTGGTGATTTTTTGTGAGAAAAGAGGGAGGAAGATGGTAGATGGATGGAGTAGAGTGTAGACGAAGAAGAATTGAGAGAAGAGGAGTCGGCTAGAGATAGAGGAAGTAGGGGGAATTCTAATGTTCCCCTACTATATGTCATTCCATAAACTTGTCCCACGAGCGGATAGTTACTTATAGGGGTGTTCAAACGGTTTGGTTACCATGGTAACCGTTTTAATCGGTACTATTTGGATAATTTGGTTTGGTTAATTTGGATAATTGGTTTAGTTTGGTTAAAAATTTTAGCTTGTTTGGTTTAGGTGGTTTGGTTTGGTTTCAGACACTCCTAACCAGTCAAACCAAATTAACCAGTTAAGTAATTAGTCATATATCTAACATATATTATATACACATACTTAATACTTTGCATAATCACTCAAGAGTTAACGTTCATCCCTTTTAGACTCATAAAATATAAAGCTCAATATTGCTCATATAATGTATATTTGTATATGTAAAATGTAAACCACAACATATGAACGCATAATTTAGATAAATTTCATACATTATGATGGATGAAAACTTGAAAGGAATGTCATTTCCAGCCTATGATAATTGCTAAGAGACTAAGTCAATTTACACAAACACAACAATTCATTAACCCATACCATTATCATAAATTTTTGTTAGGTGAATACTTCTATACTAATCGTAAGATAATTGTCTTAGTTGCATGTATTTTTGTTAAGGGTCAACTATAACTACGTGTTGATTGTTATGTTTTATTCATTATATAAATTGCGAATTGTTGCATTAACCGGAAAATTTTCATCGTCAATGATAATGTGATTTTATATTGGTTAATCTGGTTAACCAATTAACCAAACCGATTAAACATTAGTTTGGTTAATTTGGTTGTTGCATTAGTTTGGAAGGTTTGGTTATGATATTGTATTCCATGGTTAATGGAATTTAGCCTTATTTGGTTTGGTTATAACCATGGTAACCATTTGAACACCCCTAGTTACTTAGTGGTATAGGTTGGCAAACTCTAAAAGTGGTTTGAGTATGTAAACTCTTCATTTTTGTATAATATGAGTTTGATTTCATTTGCTTTCATTGTGATTTCTATTATCAATTGATTGCATGCTTCTACGAAGATACACATCCCTTTGTGATGTGTACTTCGTAATCTAATTTGGAGTTGAAAAAACCATACACGGTCGTCCTTCACGATTGACGATCAATCGATTGGACTGCGTGACACCTCAAAGAAGAAATACGCAAGGTTCTTGTTGCCTACTACATCGGGTAAACATAGCGACAGTAGGTAGAATAGATTCTACATGGATCAAACAGCTCATATGTTGACATGATCAAGGATTCGAGTCAAATGAACTATAAGGGGAGCTAGCCTAAGCAACGCCTCACCCTCATGTTTCCTTTACCAACCAGTAGCATAGATTTAGTTTACTACATTATTCTTTTCTTATGTTTTGTAAAACTAATGAGAACTTCAATCCCTGAGAAACCTCAATGACTCGCACGCATGATGCGGTGTGAGATCGAGATAAAACGATGCTCACTAACTACTGACCCTGACAATGGAAATTATACCACTTTCAGGCTTTTAGTATAGTCGCTTGGTTGTATTCCCTGGGATTGTTGATACCCTTGTCTACGATATTAAGTTCTACTACTATCTAATCAATAGTTGGTTTTTTTTGTACTAAGGAATTGTTTAATGATGAAAACACGAACAGAAAAAATTAATTCTTGGGCTAAACTACATGTACCCTAACATCAAGAATGACATGCAATAAACAGGTAAAGCATTTATGGTAATTGAGGCGCGGAAATCACTAAACTGGGAACCGATGCAATGGTCAAGCCATTGATTTTCCTTTTAGCAACATCCACGAGCCCAATGTGATCACAAGCGGCTTCAGTGACTAGGGATAGCCCCCTATATAATGTAAATAGGTTCTACCCACTCGCACACAAGGTTTTCAAGTCGATGGTCACGCACTCGAGTCCTGAGCATTACTTAGGTGAGCTCCTAGTTAACATGGGATGGTCACCTCGTCCACCAACTAGGACTCAATGTCAACTAATTAAGCTAAAGGTATTCATTCACATACAATCAAGTGCTAACCTAATTTAACCTAGGCTAAAACATGGCATACATGCATTCGTACAACGAAACTTAGAAAGAGGCATTTTAACTCTAGATATACTAAAATTAACCATAAATTTACAATAACCATTCAATTATATATCATATCCAAATTACGGTTTGGGGGACAAAGTCCCAAGTACCTTAGGAAACTACATACCCTATGAAAAAGGGGAGGAAAGACATAAAAAGAAGGTAAGAAAACATGAATGAGAGGCTCCTTCTTGGGTAGAAAACTCCTCCTCCTCCTGTCTCTTTCTTATCCTCTTCCTCTCCTTTTACTCTCTAAGGAATAAGTTTCTCTCTCTAGGGTTTGCAACTCCAAAGTCTGTGTAAAATGAGGGGAGCAACCCTCTATTTATAGAAGATCAGCGACACAGACAAGTCGCGACCTCCTCTTGGGAAATTATGGCCGCGATCTTCATCTCCTGGGCCCGAAATTTATACGGTGAAGTATTTGGCTACTTAGGTGGAGAGATCACAGACCGGAATTTGCGGCCGTGAACGGGAATTCGTCGCCGTTATCCTTCTTGCGGTCTCAAACATGAAGGTCCGCAAGACCTTTTGCACTCTTGTCCGCAGATTCTCCAAGTTTGCGGCTCCAGCGATCAGAGATCTTGATCGTGAACTTTACGTCTCAACTGTGAACTCTTTTTGGCCACCATCTCCTCTGCCGTGAATTTTAACCTCTGGTCTTAATCTTTTGTTTTTACTCTTTTAGCACACTTTTCCTACTCTTGAGCTCGGATTCATTGACGAAAACACTTACAACCTAAAATGACACCTAAAATATAACTAAAACACAAGAGGAAGCATTTCTAGGCCAAATCAAGAGTTAAACACTCTATGAGTTCTCCAACCCATAAGAAAACATCCAAGAAATGAGAACTAGATAACACCGGTTTAGGTGTTATCAAATTCCCCCGCACTTAGACGTTTGCCTGTCCCTAATTTGGGTCCAATTGCACATGTTTTCTCTTAATATTTTAGAGATGTTTGAGGCATTTTCACTTCATGAGGTTCACTTTTACGCTAGGGTGTGCTTGTTTCTAGTTTGTTTCGGATCCTAGCAAGTGGAATTGGCCTCGGGAACGTAAGTTGGACAAAAAAGGGCGAAAACGGATCGAAGGGAGCAAAAAGCCGAGGATCACGATGGAAGCTAGTTTTTCATGGTCAGGCCGACCGTGATAAAGAGGCCCAGGCCGTGAAGTGCAAGGAGACCAGGAAAGTTTTTGTGCCTGGCGCGCTTAAGGGACATCACGATTGCGAGCTAGGTATAAAAGGGGAAGTGAGCTGGAAGAAGAAGGAGAGAACCTAGTGAGAGAATTGCATCTTCTTCCTCAGATTTTAGAGAGAGAGTGATGAACAAGAGAGGAGAAGAAAGCTAGGGTTTCCTCCAACAAGATTTGGGAATCTCATCCACCAAGGCTGATTTATACATCAAAGGAAGAAGGCAAACATCTCAAGATGGTCTTTTCTCTTCTCCTTTATGTATTCCCTAGTCTAGGCATGAAGTAGTTCTCTTCTTTCACTTGGGTGTTATGTATAGGAGTTCCAGAAAGAGTAACTTGTATTATTATGAAACCACAAATGGGTTTATATAGATTACAAAACTTGAACAATAAGTAAAAGAACCACAATACTAGAAGGACACGGAAATACTAAGAACTATACTAGAAGGACAAGCAAAATATAAGATTATTCCTAATTTATCTCTAACATTGTGAACCCTAGCTAGAACTATGTGATTGATTGTATGAATTGAATGTTTTGTGTTTGGTTTGTGTTTTAATGCAAGTATTGAGGTATTTTCATGAAGTTTGAGTTGTGTTCTCCATTTCTCACTGTTATGCCAATTTGACCTAGGTAGAGGAAAATCCCCTCATTACTAAGAGGCTTTTATAAGGTGGAATTCCTTGGCCAAATTGAGCCAACTACTTGGGACGAATTAGGGCAAACCTCATACTATGTTTTAGCACTTTGAGTTGGTTGTTGTTTGGTCGTCCGGATTAAGGTCCGAGGGGGAAGTCTTGGCAACCCTTAGTCGATTGGCCAAGAGAGCTAATTTGTTAGCTTGATTTGACATCCCTTGGCCGAGAGACTGAAAGAGTGAAGCTTTTGCACTAGTTGCGATCTCCTACGGTTTACAACCACTTTTCCGCACACTTGCATTTTTTTTTAGTAATCTTGACACATAGCTAAGGGGAGCAACACCCAGGTGAAGCTTTCTCATATAGTCTTCAAAACCATTTACCTTTTCACTTGCTTTGATTTGTAATCCGTAGTTTCACTAAAAATCGAATGCTAGATAATGTTTCAACCGATTGAAGTAGGGGTACATCAGTACATGAACCGGTCCCGGGTTTGACATTTATATACTTGCCCTATACTGCACCTGGCTAGAGTTTATACTTGGGCTCTAATTGGGATTTTAATTCGTGGTGTAGTAGTAGCAAGTCGGTCCCCAAGCTAACATGTGACTTAAATATGCAACTTGAAGTCCATAGGCTCTCCCATCAATTTGTTTCTTATGAAACATGTCACTAGTGACTAGAAATGCTTAGTTTCCATGCTAACATTCGAATTGCTTCATAAATTCACGACTTGAACATTCTAGAGTGATTGGAGATCGTGCAAGAAGCAATATCACCATCCATGGGTGTAGGTGAAACAATTGAATGCTTTACACGGTTATATTCTTTACTTTCTCCTCAATCGTTATTCTCTTTTTGTAAATTTTTCTTTGGGGGTTGTAGCAACTTAATTTTTTTTTTGATTTGTCCAAGATCGGGCAAGTAAGAGAGACGCTTGTAGTGCTCTTTTCACCTACCTATACCTCAGCCTCTTGTGGAGGGACCACGACATGAAGATGACCAACCTTCATATCATAGGTAGCCAAAACTAAGTGGGGTCACTAATGTGCATCACCCTCTAATTGGCACACGATCACGAATAGTCGTTTTTTGTTACTACTATTATTAAATTTTGAAACATCTGATCGTTGCCTCACACGTACATCGTTAAAGAACGAGCTACAACCCTCTTTATTCGGATGAAAATTCAAGGTTGCAAGAAAGCACATAAATCCAAACCCAGACTGTGGATTCAAGATTTTCAACAAGCAACCTATCCATCCAAACACCTTTCATACATACAAGATATGACACATCGAAGATTCAAATTTAGCACTTCATCCTACAACAATTTATGTGCTACGTTCCTCGATATTAATCAAGTAAGAGCCCCTAGGTTCATCAATTCAAAGCAAGTAGTCACGTTGTGTGCTAGAGACTTACTTGGAACCCTCAAATTTAAAATTTTAACGCAATAACCTAGGTTCCAAGTAAGTTCCTGTCATGCCATTCAGCCATCACAAATCATTTTATTTGATCACCATCTCACACTAAAAGATATCAAGCATTCATCAATCAGAAAAAGTGATCAAGCAACCATGACATTCATTCATACATCCCGAACTCTAAACATACAATGTTAGCCCCCCCCCCCCCCCCCCCCACACACACACACACCACCACCACCACCACCACACACACACAAATAAGAGACACATTTTTCTCAATGCAGGAGTTCAAAGATGAGGTCTTAGATTGTTACCATAGGGTTTTGTGTAGGTTAGTTGAACGGAGCACAAGTGTAGTCTTGTTTGGCATCTAAAAGATAGAAAGTATTCAAGCACACACGCACTAGAAGATGAGGGTATTAGACATAAAATTTATATAAGTCTAACTTACACTACTAATAGTTTAGTTTACACAACATTAGTTAAGTACTAAAAAAATGAAATAAAGATAGACATAGTTCAAATTCAAATAAGGAAAATGAATAAAATAAAGAAGTTTAGAAAGAATGAGGTAGGAATCGGTCTTGAATTGCCTTAACCAGACTACTTATCACCAAATGGTTAATCATATAAATCATAGGGCTCTAGTGAGAGGGTTGAGAGTAAGAGGTTGGTGTGATGTCGCTTACAGGAATGTCGAGGTGTTGCAGGATGCCATTGTTGCAAGCCATGTTGTATAATCTCGCCTTGATTTGTCTTCTCTAATTCTTGAGCACCGCCATGAGTTGTTCACGTACATAGTAGTCGACCACACCAGAGGAGCTAGATGTGGTCGGATATTGAGCCAATCGGCTATGAAAGAAGTTCAATTCATCCCAATGCCTCGGGGCTCTCTCCTCTAGTTCCTCTTCACATTCATCTAGTTCCTTGGCAAGTACTCTGGTTTTTCTTCTAGGTGGACTATGTGGAAGGTTGAAAAGAACTTCATAAATCACCAAAGTGCTAGTTTTGGGAAATGGTAAACCTTGGACTCTCCATATTCCTTTCTCATTCTTGTAGACCATCTTGAGATGTGTCTTGAGGGTCTCAAATGTGATCAGAATGGTCCATGTATCCAATCTTCTCTCCACATTGCCAAAGTCTATATTGAGATACTGGGCTATGAGAGTGACGTAGACACCCCCATGAAGGGTTGAGAGTATGTTGTCTTTTTTATACTGATTTAGAATCTTCAGAATGGTGAGGCCTAGGTTAAAGGAACTCAGACTTTGCATGCTCAAGAGGAATGTAGCATCTCTAGCAGTCATATTACCTTTGCTCCCATACTTTCCACCCAGAGATCTAGAGATAACATGGTGAATGAACCTCTATTCCGGTTTCACTTCACTACCCTTCAATAGTTTCACATCTCATGCTCTTGCTCCATGCACTTTAAGCTCTTCTTCGTAGAAATCTCTGAAGTATGTGAAAGCATTCTCTAGAGTGAGGGCAACGAAGCAATGGTGGAGTCCACGAACTCTGCAGGATAAATGTCAAAGGCCCTTATAAAATCCTTGATGGACATTTGTTGGTGTAATCCTTTGAGTTAGAATTCAACATTGGGGAACTTGTCTATTGCGCTTTGAACATCTTTAGTCATCAGAGTGCTGAGAAACTTGATTAATAGGAGACAATTGATCCTTTCTCGAATGCTCAAGACCTTGATCCACTCTGTCTTTGCAATCTTCGAGTGAGTGATGTGTTCGACTCCAAGCAAGGAGAAGAGAACATCATTGAGACGTGAGCTTTCTCCAATTGGGCACTCTCACAAACAGAGATACTTGTTGATGAACCGAAGTGGGATTGGATCAAGGAATACATGATAAAAGATCTCCATTGCTACTCACGATCCTCTTCTTTGTTGTCCTTGACGAAGTTGATATTGTTGTTGTCGGTGCTGGTGTACTCACGGTTGCTCTTCTTGCTCGATTTGGTCTTTCTCTTGAATTTGAGGTTCTGGTTATTCTTCTTGTCTTGTTTGGTTCCATTTAAGCCTTGTGTATTGGTGGGGAATAGGTTGAACCAAAGGCTCGGGGGGAATTGGTTTAGGTATACAACCCATCACGTACTCATAATCGCGATGCATGTAATTTCTATACTACCTGCACCCAATTACAAGTTATTTGATCCTCCCATCTTCAGTTCCCACTGAGATCTAAAAATAATATAATTCTAAACACCTTCATTTCTCTTTTCCAATTACATAAATACATATACGACACACGATAACCATAAGTTTTCCTTACAATAAAATTTGCTATGTTTCTCATATTATTCTATATAATTTTCCCTTACAATATAATTTTCTCTTCAAACTATGTTAGATTAGCTATAAACTGAAGTTGGTTCGAACTCGTGAGATGGAGATTATCCACAGCTATCCAAAAATCTTTGGGATGAAGAAAAAAAACTTCCACCCACTCAAGGATGGAGATTGGAGAGGGTATAAATTTATGTTCAGATATGAATGCGTTATAACAAAATCAGCCCCAAACCCGTCTATTCTAATCCCCGAATTGGAACATCGAGAAAGAAAGGTATTTGTTAAGACTGAAATGTTAACAAAGATTAGTAACGTGATCTATTGATATACATACACCAAATCTATGCGACACACACATAACTCCGAATTTTGGTTTTGCGCCAGCTCAGGACAGGAGGAAAGCACAAAGCAGGTAGCCGTGACGAAACGGCAACCGTTTACCGTACAAACAACCATTGAACGGTCGCGGAAGACGGACGGAGGAGAAAGAAGCCACAAGAAAGAGCAGCGCCACTGCGCCACCAATAATTGAGATATTCTCCTTCCCTTCAATGTCAAGAGTACTACCGCTAATTTGATTCCTCGTGTCTTTTATCCTTCTTTCTCCTTGCTACTTCTTCTTCCTTAGGGCTTCTCTTCGTCTACTTTTTCGATTCCAGAACTAAAAAACTCGCTGAACCTCGGCCGTCGACTCCTCGCCTCACCTTTGGCCGTTTCTGGTAACGTTGCCCTCGAAGTCGCAGCTGTGCCGACTGCCGAGTGAGCAGCCATTTGGCCGACGAAGGATCAGAATCACTCAGGTATCCATCCGCTGATTGTGCGTGCTTCGATTTGCTGTTTCGTAGATCGTCTTCTTCGCTTTGCTTGATCTACGACTTCTGCCTCGATCTCAACGCCGCCATTTTTTTGTTTGGAGGATGTTTAATGAGCCACTGAATCTTTTAGATCGCTCTAGTTACTGTTTTGCTACGTCTTAGTGATGCCGTTGTCAAATTTCTGATCGACGATAGGTTTTTATTTCTTTGTTTGGTTTTCTAATTGATGTCCATGGCTGGCCAGCTGGTTCGCCCTGGATCTTGTAGGTTGAGTGACGACAAGTGCTGGGTGGTGGAACTAATGTCTGCATGGATAAAAGGCAGCATATCGCGATTTTCACTACTGCTAGCCTTCCATGGATGACCGGAACCGCCGTCAATCCACTGTTTCGTGCTGTGTATCTTGCCAAGGATGGGAAAACGGACGTCACTTTGGTAATTCCATGGCTGTCTTTGAAGCATCAGAAGCTGGTTTATCCGAAGGATGTTACCTTCAGTTCACCCTCAGAGCAGGAAGCTTATGTTCGTCAATGGCTTGAGCAGAGGATTTCATTTTCTGCTGATTTCTCCATCCGATTCTATCCTGGAAAGGTAAAGAGTTGTATGCAATGCCCGAGTTTAGGCTTGTTCGTTGACGGTTGGATTTAATTGACATGTAGTTGAGAAGGTTGCTTGTTTTTCCTTGTGTAGTTTGCTGTGGATAAGAGGAGCATTCTTCCTGTTGGAGATATCTCTGAAGTCATCCCAGATGAAGAGGCTGAAGTTGCTGTTCTTGAGGAACCTGAGCACCTTACATGGTTTCACCATGGCAAGAGATGGAAAACCAAGTTTAGTCTTGTGATTGGTGTTGTGCACACCAATTATTTGGCGTACGTGAAGAGGGAAAGTAACGGCAGAGTCAAAGCGTTGATTCTTAGATATCTTAACACCTGGGTTGTTGACATCTATTGCCACAAGGTATTTTTTCTTGGTTGTTTCAGTCTTATGAAACTTGAATGTATCTGGTATTTTACTTGAATGCCTATTCGTTGCCAAGGGATCTCTTTCTGTGGCATGCAGTACTTTCAATTTCTTAGATTATTGAATCGTCATAGGCCATGGTTCTTGGTTAATTTATCAGTTTTCTGGGATTTTTCACATTCAAGAAACACAATCCATTTAGCTTGGAAGTTTTGTTTCACATATGTAAAATATGAATTTTGGGCCAGCTTTCTGGTTTTGACATGCGGCAAGCATTCAGTGTGCCTTATTGTAGTTATCTTCTGCTTAGTTATGTGTTAATGTTGCTCTGCAGATATGGTATGTGAAACTTTATTTTCCCAAACAAATAGAACAGGTTAATAACTTCGTCTATGTGGTTCAGCACCCCACCTTTGATGAGATTACTGTGCTGACAGATGTACAGCAGAATTTTGGTGGACTGGAAGTTTGGTTTACGACCGGACATACCTGGTATAAAGTTATCATATTTCACATGCAGAACAAATAATTAGTAATGTATAATGTTCAACTAGACTAGGTTGTTATTAGAAGAGACTAACACACTATTTCATTTATTTATTTATCTACCTACCTTCTTTCTTGATGTATATGGCTTTACCATGAAATTTTCAGTTGCTCTATCATCTTTCGCATGTGTTTGGTGCATAGGGGTATAAAATGGTGAACTTGAGGAATAGCTCTCGTAAACCAGAATCTGTTTTTTCTCAACTCTGCAGGTGATTCGATTGTCTGCTGCAACCCAGGAATATCCTAATTCCATCATATGCAATGTCCATGGAGTAAACCCTAAGTTCCTTGAAATAGGAAAGAAGACAATCGAGTTACAGCAATCTAGTAAGAGGGCTTTCAGTAAAGGTGCTTACTACATAGGTAAAATGGTCTGGAACAAAGGGTACAAGGAGCTTCTTGACCTCCTCCGGAAACACCAAAAGGAGCTATCTGGGCTGGAAATAGATTTATATGGCAGTGGCGAAGATTCTAATGAAGTTCAGGAAGCTTTTGAGAAGCTGGGTCTAGTTGTTAGACTTTACCCTGGCCGTGATCATGCAGATCCTGTATTCCATGAGTAAGCTGTCTATCATTTCTGTTCTTTTTCATCTGAAAGCTGGTTTCCCCCAGCTCCTGCCACTTCAATAGACGTGATTATAAGTATATTGCATTTAATACATTGATCTAATACCGAATTCTATTTTCTTATGATGACTCGAGCAAACTAGTAGGAACTTTGCTTGTAGATGATCAATATTAGTAACACGTTCAGCCTCTCTTCTTTCTTTCCTCCAGTTACAAAGTATTCCTGAATCCAAGCACCACTGACGTGGTATGCACAACAACAGCTGAAGCACTAGCAATGGGGAAGCTTGTCGTGTGTGCTAACCACCCATCAAACGACTTCTTCAAGCAGTTCCCCAATTGCTGGACTTACGACGACAGCAAAGGATTTGTAGAGGCCACCAACAATGCATTGAAGGAAGAACCTAGTGAACTCACAGAAGCCCATAGACATGAGCTATCATGGGAGGCAGCCACTGAACGGTTTCTGAGAGTCGGCGATCTTCATGGGGTGGCGGCAAATTCAAGGAAACTATCTAGACGTCCTTCAAAGCTCTTAGGGTCCACATCTCTGAACCTGCAGAGGAACATGGAGGACGCATCAGCGTATGTGCACTATCTCGCCTCTGGGTTTGAGGCATCGAGAACAGCCTTCGGTGCGATTCCAGGGACCCTGCAACCTGATGAACAGCTGTCTAAGGAGCTGGGCCTGCAGACTGCAGAAACACAGAAGCGTAGCAGTCACAGGTTTAGCTTTTAATGTTCTAAAGCGGTTTCACCTGCGTCTTCCTGTGGAACAATTCTGTACATTAATGGGGTTTGTTATTAGACTTGAATCTTAGTTGTTTGCATAACTGTGGGCTAGCTAGGCCAAGGGGTACGTGGGAGGAAAAGGAAGGATTAGAAATCAAACATGGGATGCAAATTGCATAGTAGTTTCTGCATATGCCATGATATGGATTGCTTCATTTGCCTCCCGATTGACGTGCCTCCAAGTCCCATTACCCAAATCATGTGTATGTCGCCTTATACATTGACAAATGATACCCGATTCCAGTGTGAATGACTTTCGCATTCTGCAGCTTCTGAAGTTCTGAGTCAGTGTGAGGCACTTACATCTCTAGGATCGGATTCATAACTTGGATTTGTTTGGCATTATGCAACCCGAACTCAGCTGCCATAGCTCTGCTTCAGCTGTTTCAGCCTCCAATTGACTCTGCAATCTTCTTAGCAGCCATGAGAAGTGTCATCTTATCACCACGCCTAGACCAGCTCCTCCAGACGGCAGAACCACTGCATCAGCACTCACTTTAACCCGTCCTCTTACCTCGGCTCTCCCCATCTTTCCGGAGCAGCAGTCGCACTTGGCAAGGTATTTCATTCTGATGGTGGCTGTAGTCCTCTAGAAAGGAAAACACAAACATAAATAATTCTTAACTTTGTTCTTTATTCTTATCTTATCTGCATAATCCCCTTTTGTCCTTCCTGCCTTGTTTTATATACAAGTTACAAGAATAACCGAAACAGTGAGAGGGAAAAGATGAAGGGAGACACCCCTTCACCCTTTAAACAAGTAACTGTCATAACTAACATAGGGATACATATGATTTATTAGTTTATAGATTTTATTAGTAGATATATCACTAGATGCTATTAACCGATGCCGCATCATTCCCTTCCACTTGAGCTCAAACCGTCTCGAATTGATCAGCAGAGTAGTAAGGAGACAGATCTGCAACATTCAAGGTGCTGGAGATGCGCATATGAGCAGGAAGGTCAAGGACATAGGCATTATCATTAATCTATGTTTGACTCGGATTAGTGCCAGGTGATTAGTGTAGAGCCTTGATTTGGACTCCCTCGTCTGATCTCCTCGAGAGTGGAAGAATCCTGTGGAGAGTTGGGGGCGGCCCCCGTGATCTACACTCCGACGCTCAAGTTAGAATAGGATATAAGATAGTGATAGAGGAATGTAGAGAGATATAGGGTTTAGAGAGAGAATAATAAGTGGTAAAATGCGGGAAGGGAGAGAAGTCCCTTTGGTTGGAGGGTTTGACCTCCTTATATAGAAGTTGGATGCATCCAATGGGTGGACGCCTCCCGTCGATGGACGCCTCTAGATGATGGACGCCCCGGGTAGACTAGACCCTAGAGTGGGCTTGTGCCTAAGGTGAGACGCTTTGTGGTGGGCTTGGACTCGTATTAGGCAGGTTAATACTAGACCCAACAATTAATCTTCCAGAGAACCTTCAAAGGACCAATCTTCTGTGGGTCTAACTTACGCTGACTTCCATCACGCTCTTTGCGTAGATATATATCTCCAAGTCTCCCACTTGATAAGTTTTAGCACGACGATGATAATCAACAGCAAGCTTGTAGCGAGCATATGCTCGTTCTAACTTATGTTTCACCTGTGCAATGATATCTACATGGGGCTAAGCAAACAGATCAGCGACATCACTCTTCTTCATCCGGTGGACAGCTTGATGAGATCAAAAGTAGTTGTAGGGGTGCATCGATAAACTACAGCAAATGGAGTCATCTCGGTGTGGAGCATTATTGTAAGCAAACTCTGCTTGAGCCAATGCGAAATCTCATTGACGTTGGTTTTCAACACACAAACACCATAGCAAGTTGCCAAAGTTCTGATTCACAACTTCCGTTTGGCCATCTGTTAGTGGATGAGCAGTGCTGTTGAACTTCAATTCGGTGCCAAATCGCTTCCATAGGGTAGACCAAAACACAACCAAAAACTTGGGATCTCGATCAAAAGTGATAGATTGAGGAAGCCCATGAAGATGAACTATTTCTTGGAAGAATAGCTTTGCGATATGCGATGCGTTGTTGGTCTGTTTATAGGGAAGGAAGTGAGTCATCTTAGAGAAACGATCCACCACAACAAAGATGGAGTCAGATCCTCGCTGGGTTCGTGGTAACCCAAGAACAAAGTCCATGGACAAATCCTCCCAAGGCTGGCCAGGAATCGGCAACGATATGTGTAAGTCGATATTCTGTAGTTGGCCCTTTTGAGATTGACAAATGGAGAATTGGCGAACAATCCGACCAGCATCTCTTTTCAATTGCGGCCAGTAATAACGTTCTTCCAATCGGGCAATGGTTTTGTCAAGCCCCAAGTGTCCTTGAAGGTTGCCAGCATGAAGTTCCCAAATGAATTTCTCTCGCAGCGAAGTACGAGGAATACACAATTGATTGCCTTTAAAGAGATAGTCTTCTTGTACTGTAAAATCCCCAAAGGTCTGCTTCTCCAAATACTTGGACCAAATGAGGCCAAAATGAGGATCATCAATATAGAGTTCCGGAAGGAAACTGAAACCCACAAGTTCATGGCTGGTGGTGAGAAGAATATTTGCTCGTGGATTGGATCGACCAAAGGTAGAAAGTTTATGTAAAAAATGAAACTCAAAGCTTTAACCATTCCAGGTAGGGATGGCAATGGGTCGGGTCAGGGACGGATAGTGCATATTCGTTATCCTACCCAAAGTAGTTCGGGTTTTATCCATACCCACATAAGAAACGGGTAGAAAATCAAAAACATGCCCATATTAGTTAGGGTTTCTGGTATCCACGATTATCCATGGGTAATATTTTCTCTTTATAACTCCAATCAATATGTTAATATTCACATGTATTCTCACATTACGTAAGACGAAAAGTACGACAATAATTCACTAGAATTACGTAAGACGAAAAGTACGACAATAATTCACTAGAATTACGTAAGACGAAAAGTACGACAATAATTCACTAGAATTAAGAGAATGCTATAAAACAACACAATTTTATGAACATATAATATTTATATGTCAAATATAAAATATGTTTGAGATAAATAATGAATATTTCTAGACAAAATACATATGCATGTGTATATCGGGCGGGTTCTGGTTGGATAGTTAGAAAATCATATCTACCCATTACCTACAATATTCGCGTTCGAATTTTACCCGTACCCGCCAAAAATCCTTCGAGTTCGAATTTTACCCTACCCGATTAAGATGAATTGGACGAATATCACGGTTACCTATATTTTTGTGATCTCTAATTCCAGACAACCAAACAAAGGGGAGAAGGAGAACATAAAATGCCAAAATGGGAAGGAAAATTCCACCAAAATAAAAGACGGTAGGAAAGCACAAATCCAGTCTAGAAGTAGTTAGTTCCGAAAACAGGTGCGTGGTTGAGCTGAACGGAGAAGAGAGAGATGACCAAGGACGTCAACTCAGCCACCGCCGGGGACGGCTCGACGGCCACGGAAACAATCGCGAGGAACATTCCTCTTCAATACGTCAATACGGTAAATAGATTCTTCACAAACCTCGGAGTCTCCGATCCTGCCGTCGAGAAGTACACATCCACCACCGACTCCTACTCCGATATCATCCGCGGCCTGCTCAACGTCCACGCCGTTGAACGCGGCCGGATCTCTTGCTCCTTCTCCGTCCTCCCCGTCGTAGCTGTAATTTTTAATTGCCATCAATTCCTCCTCTCCTCTTTGCGTCCAATATATCTCTATTGTTTGGCTTTCGAGAAAAAAAATTGAAATTGAATTCGCGGAAGAATCCCATACGGTGGTTGGTTGCAGAATTTCTACAAAGGACTGCACGGAGGGGCCGCCGCGGCAGTGGCGGAGAGAGTGTCGATTGCCTGTGCAAGAACCCTAGTGCCGGAGGAGAAGGAGCTGTTTCTAGGTGAATTGGGCATTTCTTACCTCTCCGCCGCCCCTCAAAATGTGAGAGCTTCTCTCTCCCACCCTTTCTCTCTCATTTACCTCTCCCGTTGCTCTCCGATTCATTACATCGCCGCTTTGGTTGTTTGCAGGAGACGGTGACGGTTGACGCGTCGGTGGTGAGGAGCGGAAGAAACTTGACGGTGGTTTCGATGGAGTTCCGACAGAAGAAAACTGGGAAGCTCATGTTCACTGCTCGGGCTACTTTCTATCACCTGCCTGCCTCCAAGTTATGAAACCGAAAACAGAAGACGCAGTAAAGAAATGCGGACCATTTGCTCCATTTCATAACTTACAATTTGCCTCATCACTAGATGAGTTTTTTTCGGAACCATTTTGGAAGATTACAAGATGATGGTCCTTTGATGTGTAATGGTGTTCTTATACAGATAGAAAGACAAATTGCATTAAGCTTTTTTATCGTTCATTTCTACATCTCCAATGTCCCAATACCACCATCCATCAATCCTCTCTTTTGCTCAACATTGTTGTTGTGAAATGGCTCCTCCTGAAGCTGGTTTGTCCTAGTTTTTGACGGCCTTTTGTAGTCCCGGCGGAAGTTGGCTTGGCTTTTCCCAGTGCTGATCTTCGTGTATTCGCCGACTTCTTGTATTCGCCGCATCCCCCCCTGCAAGCCAAGATCAGTACTGAATCATGTTTTGACTAAACTTGGGACAATCAATCCCAGTTTTTGGTGGTTAGGTAACCTGAAATCAACAATGAAATTGGTCGATTTAATACACTAAGCTTGCCCAATTTCGAGCAGTAAAACAACCCAACTGTGAAGTGCCGGCATACTAACTCTGGTTCAGGCCCTAGGTAAATATGGCATTCACGAAAGCCTCTGCGTCGAAAGGTTGGAGGTCTTCTACGCCTTCACCGACACCAACAAACTTCACAGGGATGCCAAGTTCGTCCACGACGCTAACCTGTATGAATAAAGATCATAGTAAACTTCAATGATTTCCAATATAGTTAGACGATCTTTGAGAAATTAAATCAAATGCCATGATGCGTACCACACATCCACCTCTTGCAGTGCCATCAAGCTTCGTCAAAATGAAACCTGTTACCCCCACCACCTGTTATCATAGTTACACGTAAATAGATTTGCAGAAAATGAGCTTCGCAGTTTGTTCATTTCTTAATACAATTGAGTTTCGTAATGCCAATGCCGACGGATAAGGGAGATTACCTCGTTGAACTCTCTTGCTTGGGGAAGCATATTTAGACCCGTGGTCCCATCCAGCACCAGCAAGATCTCCTGCGAGTCATGCAAAGTTACAGATCTTGATGGAAATTCTTTTAACAAAATTTAGGGAAGTAGGGACTAGGGAGTAACACATTGTGAGAGCCTTACTACGAATAGAACTTCCTAGTAAGTAATAAAAATACTAAAAGAGTCTGCCCTAAGAGTTTAGCTCACATTGGGTGCACCAGGAACGACTTTGCCCACAGCTTTCTTACATGCTATCAACTCTTCCATTAGGCTGTAATTCGTGTGGAGACCTAAAACGTCCAGTTGTACGTTAGAAACTGTGATAGGATCCACATATAAACAGCCATCGGTCGCAAGTCCAAGTACTTACGTCCAGAGGTGTCACACAGAACAATATCAAAGCCCTCTTCTTTCCCTCTTTTGACAGCCCGTGAAAGAACTATTCAGAAAGCACTTTAAGATCATGAGTTAGTACTTACACCATGTGAAGATTGAACTTCTGCTGTTTACAAAGATCCAAATGATGAATTCCAATTGTATCCAAATTTCCTACCAGATGATGCTTTTGCCTTTTCTTCTTCAGCCACAACAATTTCACATCCAGTCCTTTCAGCCCAGATCTCCAACTGATCACTGGCAGCTGCCCTAAATGTATCTCCGGCTGCCATCAATATCTAGCAACATAACAAGCCCAAGTAAGGACACCAAGGGCAGGTACTTCCTGCAAAACTTTTCTAAACCATGAACTCGAGAAATGAAAGATGTCCATGAAACATGCATAAGCATTGTGATCACTGCAAAAGCAGTAGCTCTTGATCTCAAATCTCAGTCCGCACATACCAACAAGAGGGTTAATAATTTGCTTGGTAGCTCCTAGGAACAAAATAATTTCTGCCAGACTTCTATACTACGCCATAGATCATTACCTCAATTCAGCCAGTCTAGTAGACTAAATCACACTGAGTATCTAAACAACTTACCTTCACTCCTTCATTCTTCAATCTATATGCCAGCTTGCCTGCATTAATAGTACACGCTCATATGCCACTGGAATCATGGTTTTTCAGAAATAACTAATTAGTGGAGATTAAGAAACCACAAAATGAAGAGTCCCAGAAAATTCAATTAAGAAACAAGACAAGCTACTTGAATCTTCCTCAAGATACACTATAGCCCACAGCATAACCACAAAAAATTTGACTGCCATGCATACTAGAGTCCCATAGCCTCAAAATTGCATGCATCACCCTCGGTTTGCCTCATCTACTTAGACATACTACGACAAAAGCCTGCCGAACTTTCGCTACTAATGGTTCTCAACTCAATGATCAATTTGTTCTCCAACTCCTGACTTACCAAGGGATGTTGTCTTTCCACCACCATTAACGCCAATTATCATGATCACAGCCGGTTTCCTGATACCACAAAGCAAAGCCAGCGCCTCATTAATCACGGGCCCTTCCTCGAAACACAAGGAATGTAAATAGTCCATACCACGAACACACACTAAACAACATGGCACATTCAGAACCTGAATCCAAGTTGAAGCTCCGTCTTGCTCCCCTTCGTGACTAACAAATCCAGCACACGACTCTTCAAAGCATCCTACAAGAACACAACAATTCAATGCAAAAATTCCAAACAGAATACCTTCCTCAATTGCAGTGGAAAGAACACTCAGCCTCCATTTACCTTGATTTCACTTCCTGATTTGAGCTTCCTCGCCAGAATATCCTCCCGTAAGCTCTCTACGATCTTGATTGTGATTTTCGGCCCAAAATCAGCGACCAGTAGAATCTTCAAATCAAATGCACACCTCTATTATCAGAAAAGAGACACGGAAAATGCTAATCTTCTAGTTCAATATTTGAACGAAGTGCGATATTCACGAAGAAAAGTAACCTCTTCCAGCTCGTCGAGGACTCGGTCAGTCTCGGCGAGGTTCCAGTACAGGAGGAGTTCATCGATGACAGCGAGATTGTCTCTGGTTTTCGAGAATCCGGAGAAGACCTTCTCGACGTCACTTTTCGCCTTCTCTTTTATCAACCGACCGAGCCGACTGAAGAACCCAGTCTGGCTCGCTGAGCATTTAAATCTGGTTGCTCTAGTGTGAGCGGAAACTGATCTCCGGACACTGAACAAGAGTTGCGGTTGCGGCGAAGGATTGGAGAGGAGGAGCGAGGTATGAGCTGGAGTAGCCATTTCTTTTCCCTGAGCTCCGGTATCTGAAAAATTGACAAGGTTCCTACTGTTTCGCCTCCGGATAAACGTTACAGGCTACAACTGCTTCTAAGCGATGCCGTTTCTAATGTTTTTGTGCAGAAGAATCTGGGTGACGTGGGTCGGGCGAATCATTTTGAAATTTAACTCATTTTAGTGGTGGGTGATGACCTTATAATTAGCCCAGTATGACTAGTCACCTCAACAAATTTTGATCTCGATTAACTGATTTGATTTGTTGTATCAACTCCAATATAATTAGTCACCTCAACAAAGCATATGAAGACTTCACCAACTTCCAATCTTTACCAACAAGGTGAGCAGTCACACATATAATTTGCATTATGTACCGAAAACCATGTATTTGTGGTTATCGATATTCTTCTTTTGTATTTTGTGACAAAGAATCTCTCAGGATATCTTTCATTTCAAGAAAGATACAATAACAATATTCTCTAATAATAACTAATAAGCCTACCAGGAATCACAAACAAGGGTTGCGTCAATGTCATAAATCGTCTAAACCCTTCATGCTCGATTTATCTAAAGAGAAGCTCATCCAATATTATCATCTCAGCTAATCCAATTCCACATTTAGTCTTGTCAAACTTCCATGTCGAAAGAGATCCTACTTGACCACCAGTAGCAATAGATGTTGGCTGCAAGTTCAACAAAGTTTGAGAGCTATCACTCTCCTTCTACCTTTTCCTCTCACATGCCCTCATATGTGTATTCATTGCGCTTGTTCCATGAAGCCGTGGATGTGCTGCTATCTTCGTCTTGAAGAATATACATTCACCAAACAGGTATCCTTCGATAATTATCTGTGTGAATACATTCCAACACTCAGCTTTCCTCTTCTTTGTTGTTGCCTCATAGGTACTCCCCGCTCCATCTTCGATTGCAATTTGATCTTCCCCATATGCTACATTTGCATTCTCCGCTCCAGCCATTGCTACATTCTCAACTCCAGTAGCTGCTACATTTTCACTCTAGTCGCTGCATTTGGAGTAACTCCAGTTGTAGTAACTCTGACAGAAGGAGTAGCATGTTGCGAAGAAACCCGAGGCCGAGAAGCCGGAGGAAGAGCAGCTCTTGCTCCTTGTTGTCCTCTTCCACGATCACCACCACATGGTTTCTTACCTAGTCCACCTTATCCCTAAATAAGAAAATACATATTCAACAAATATACAGAATAAAAAAATAAAAAATACAGAATAAAATAAATTAGGGATGGCAATGGGTCGAGTTTTGCCAAACCCAAACCCATGGGTTTATTCGGGGGAAAAAAACCCGGGGTAAAACCCACTGGGTTTGAAAAACTCAAACTCAACCTAACCTGCGGGTTCATGGGTACCCACAGATTTTTGTCGTACAAAATTTACAATAACAAGTTTCTATAAAAATTAAAGTTAAAAATCAATTTCTCAATACAAATTATCCATATTTAAAACACCATTAATTGAAAGCCTTTTCCTTTCAATTAAGTTTCTTCACTCTCCACTTTATACCATCAACTTCATTCTACACAATTAGAAAGAAAAATTAGACATGTCTCTACAAACATAAATAAGATTAGTTGTTTATAATATTAAATATACTGAGAAAATTAATTATATGGGTGTGGGCGGGTACTCATGGGGCGGGTTTATCTAAACCTAAACCCAATCCGGTGAATAGTGAATGGTTTTAAACCCAAACCCGGCACAAAATCCGTCAACACAAATTTTACCTGCATTAACCGAGTTGGGTCGGGTGGTACTCGTGAGTTCGGGTTTTGTTGTCATCCCTAGTGGTATCCGAAGTGTTTTAACAGAGACTTTGCGCGACGTCCGATGAATTCTTCCCGAGAGAAGCAGTGGAGTTTCTTTGGGCTGGGCCGTACCGCCATCTTCCTCTCTCTCGGCCCTGTCGTGGAGTACGTTACCTATCTGACCTTCTGATGGTCTGGCGGCTTTGTTGCTATCGTCGGAAAAGTTTCCGACCACCGAATCCTGGGGGAAGAAGCCGGTTATGCACAAATTACGAACGTGGGTTTCGTATCGACCTCCTCCGTCCCTCTTACGTTCAACAACGATCGAACTGAACAGGCGGTTGAATGGGTTGTCGAAGTTGGGATGCCTCGAGGAGGCCCGTAACCTGTTCGACGAAATGCCTGACAAGGATGAGTTCACGTGGAACACAATGGTTGCTGCTTATGCTAATTCAGGAAGATTGACAGACGCCAGGAAGCTTTTCGATGAGTCGCCAGTGAAGGGTTCGATCACTTGGTCCGGTTTGATAGCTGGCTACTGTAGATATGGATGTGAAGTTGAAGCATTCAAGCTGTTTTCGGAGATGCACATGGAAGGACAGAGGCCGACCCAGTATACGATGGGCAGTGTTCTTAGGCTGTGTTCAATGACTTCTTCTCTTCAACGAGGAGAGCAGATTCATGGGTATGCTTTAAAGACTGGAAATGATGGCAATGTCTTTGTTTCTACTGGGCTTGTGGATATGTATGCCAAGTGTATGTGCATTTTGGAGGCTGAGAGTCTTTTCGAGAAGGTGGCTGATGCTAAGAATCACGCTACCTGGACTGCTATGCTTACTGGGTACTCTCATAATAGGGACAGCTTCAAAGCCATGGACTTCTTCCGTCATATGAGAACAGAAGGGGTTGAGATAAATCAATTCACCTTTCCATCCATTTTGACAGCTTGTGCAGCTGTTCTGGCTAATGATTTTGGACTTCAGGTTCATGGTTGCATCGTTAAGAGTGGGTTTGGGTCAAATATTTTTGTCCAGAGCGCTCTGGTTGACATGTATGCAAAATGCAGGGACTTGAAAAGCGCAAAGAAGAAGCTAGAGAGCATGGAAATTGATGATGCAATATCTTGGAACTCCTTGATAGTAGGATTTGTGAATCAGGGTTTGAAAGGTGAGGCTTTGTACACGTTTCAAAGAATGCATGCTAAAAACATGAAGATCGATGAGTACACTTTACCGTCTGTTCTGAACTCTCTTGCGTCTACCAAAGATGTGCGAAATGCAAAGTCCGTCCATTGTCTTATATTGAAAAGTGGCTTTGGGAGATACCAGGTCGTGAATAATGCTCTTGTTGACGTGTACTCCAAACAGGGGAACCTGGATTCGGCGTTAACTATATTTAACCACATGGAAGGCAAAGACGTCGTCTCCTGGACATCCTTGGTAGTAGGATATTCACATAATGGATCCTATGAAGAGTCTCTAAAGTTATTCTGCGCAATGCATGTTACTGGTAGTATACAGCTAGATCAACTAATTGTTGCCAACATTATGAGTTCTTGTGCAGAATTGGCAATTATGGAATTTGGGCAGCAACTTCATGCCATACTTGTTAAATCTGGTCTTGAATCATCCTTGTCTGTGGATAATTCTCTAGTTACGATGTATGCAAAGTGTGGTGCTATTTTAGATGCCAATCGAGTCTTTGACTCTATGCAGAATCGGAATGTTATAACGTACACAGCTTTGATAGTTGGATATGCACAAAATGGTAAAGGATTGTACTCCCTGCTCCTATATGATCAAATGATCTCTGCTGGAATTGCACCAGATTATATCACATTCATCGGCTTACTGTTTGCCTGCAGTCACACTGGTTCTCTTGAAAAGGGTCGCTCCTACTTTAACTCGATGGACAATATACATGGGATCAAACCGGGAGCCGAGCATTATGCTTGCATGATTGATCTCTTGGGGCGCTCGGGGAACTTGTCTGAGGCAAAGCAGTTACTTGACCAAATGGATGTAGAACCAGATGCAACCGTATGGAAATCCCTGCTAGGAGCATGTAGAATGCACAAAGAGCTAGAAATGGGAGAAATGGCTGCAAAGGAGCTGTTTGAATTGGAACCGAAAAATAGCATGCCATATGTAATGTTGTCAAATTTGTACTCTGCTGCTGGCAGATGGGAAGATGCTGCCAAAATCAGAAAGTTGATGAAGTGCAGAGGAATTAGTAAGGAGCCCGGATCAAGTTGGACTCAGGCAAATGGCAGAACTCACACCTTTGTTTCTGAGGATAGGAGCCATCCAATGATGGCTCGGATTTATTCCAAGATCGATGAGGTGATTGCATTGATCAAGGAAGCTGGTTACGTTCCTGATATGAGTTTTGTGCTTCATGACATGGAAAGGGAAGGGAAAGAGCTTGGACTTGCTTATCACAGTGAGAAATTGGCTCTTGCGTTTGGACTGCTTGTTGTGCCTAGCGGAGCAGTGATCCGGATTTACAAGAACCTCCGGGTTTGTGGAGACTGCCACACTGCTTTCAAGTACATATCGAGCTTGTATGATCGCCATATTGTTTTAAGAGATTCCAATTGCTTCCACCACTTTGTAGATGGAAAATGTTCTTGTGGAGACTATTGGTAAAAGTTTGTGTCTGCTGGAATTGGAATCGCGTGGTTATAGCTCTTAGCCTGGCATATCTTCTTCTTGTAGCCATGTAGTTCTTGTTTAAGCTTAGTTCGTGAAGCACCTTCAAGCTTCATATATATGCTGAAGCCTTTAGGTTTGTGCCCTGCCCTCTCGGAATTACTTTTCTTCCTGTCGGATGTGTTAGTTTCCACCAAAGAAGCAAGAAATCTAACAGGTTACCGCTATAATGAAAACTAGGTTGGGATCACACTTTGTGGTTGGACTGGTCAATTTGAGTTGTTGGTGTCTGTTGAGATTTGAATTTATATTTTATGATAGTGTATTTGCAATGATAGTTATTTATTTATAATATTTTATCCCTTATGTATCTACATAGCTAGAAATTTCATGTGTAATTGTTGAAATTTCTTGTCCAAATGGGAAGGTAAAGCTCTCAAGAAAAAAGCAAATGGTGTAAAAGGTGGAACTCTGATTTAAATAACTATTTATATTTATAAATGAGAATTCGTATAAATATAATTAACTAATTATGATTGGACAAATAAGGCAAAGGCATAACTAGAAAAAGGGAAATGGAACCAAAAATCATTATGATTAATTAGTTTCCACGTTTTCAATGGAGGAGTCTTTCTAGCCAACATTGATTCTTTGTTATGCTTTGCACTCGTCATATAGAGTGCACCTTCCTTCTTGTCTCTAGTCATCACAAGAGAACTTCTTGATAGCTTTCATTTTCCTTCTCCAAAATAGTTGGTATAACCATCATCATCAAGCTTTCCGGTGGATATCAAATTCAACCTCATGTCATGAACATGTCTCGTCTCCTTTAAGACAAGCTTGCAACCTGTGTTAGTTACTAGATGAATATTACCCATGCCAACAATCTTTGATGCACCATCATTTTTCATCCTCACAAAACCATAGTCACCCTTTGTGTAGGAAGAGAAAAAAATCAACTCGCGAGGTCACATGGAATGAGCCACCCGAGTCAATAACCCATGCACTCTCTTGGCATGCGAGATTAACAAAACCGAATCACAAATGATGACCACATCGCCATCTGTGGTAGTAGAAGTAGTATCATATTTTCTCGGTTATCAACATTTTTTCTCTAGCTTGTTCCCGCTTTAAGATTCTTCACTCTCTCCTCATGTGTGCGGGCTGGTTACAATGATCACATGTGATTTCTCTTCTCGTTCTTGAGACTGATTTTGATCTCCCTCTACATCTACCTCGACTGTTACTTCGATCCCGAGAGTTCTTGTAATTGGAATTTCGATTTCTACCTCTTCCACGATTTTCATATTTATCTGCCACCATAACACGTGATTCTGATGAAATCCTCAATCCTTTTCTCCTCGCCTCTTCATTCAACATACTATCCTTGACAATGGCCATCGTGAGATGGCCATTAGGTGGCGAGTTGCTAAGCGAGACCACCAAAGTCTCCCAGCTATCCGACAACGAGTTAAGAAGTAACAATGCTTGCACCTCATCATCAAAGCTTGTTGTCATTCTTGGCACCAAAAATCATCTCCGAGCTATTGGATCCCCGGCCAAAATCCCTCAATTTTGTGTTACCAAATCATTAAAAATTTGTGACCATTTTGTACTAAATGCAAAGGTTTGTGACCATTTATTCTAATTGTCCTGAATACTCTCAATAAATTTCAGGACGATCCAACGGGTTGTTCTCCTGTTGCATAAACGAGAAGTCTTGCAACATTTTAGTTTCTCTTCTCGATTCCTAATTCTTTGACCCTTAATTGGTTGTAACTTCTTTCTATTAAGACAATAGAGGATCTTCTGAAAATTACCCTTGAACTCCTCCAATGAATTCAAGATAGACCAATCATAACTTCTAGAAACCATAGGAAGCTAGACCAACCCAGCAGAATCTTATACCACACACCAACAAAAAAGATGTTATTTTCCTATCAATTCTGCTATTGGATTGTTTACTATATAGGTGACTACTTCGGTGCACTCACAAAAATGAGTGATTTCAATGCACCCAACTCAAAAACTAGTCTTAAGGTATCATATTTTGAATTTTAATTTGTAGAATTAGTGTAATATGATGATATAACATATGATAACAACTAATTAGTGGATTACCCTAAGCCCTAGACCTCCAATTTTGAGTTCTATCCCTAAACCCCAAATTGTAAACCCTAACCCTAACCTTAAATCTCTAACTCTAAATCCTTCAAATTAAAGTAAATCTTCAATAGTTTTTGTGCAAATTCATGTGCGTTATTGTTCATCACATCATAAGTGATGATTGACATAATTTTGACATAAATCGCATGTTTAAAATGACGGTTATGAAGTGAGTGCACTGAATGCACCCAAAAAATGAGTGCACCGAAGACGCCACTATATATATATTGTTTTTTTTTTTACAAAAGATATATATTAATCAATAAAAGAAGGTAGTTACATCCTGGAATGCAGCCAGGCCTGAAAATCAAAACCACGACAAGTAGCCGGGTACAACGAAAGGGCTTTCCTAGCCACCAAATGGGCTACCCTATTACTACGCCGACCTAGAAATCGAATACTCAAACCCGGATGGAGGATAAATAATTGCACCACCTCGCTAAGCACAACCCCCATCCTACTATCCGCCGTCTCCAGCCGCCGGATTTTCTCGATAATCACCTTGGCATCCCCTTCAAAGCAAACCTCCTGCACCCCTTGATCTAGACACCACTTCACAGCCTCACGAAGCGCCAAAACCTCAGCAGCCACCGGATCATCAATAGCTGGGAAATGCACCCCCTCTGCCCTCAGGACCCCACCCTCTGAACTTAGCACCATACCCCCCGCAGAATGCGAGCCCGCTCTCGTCGCCCCATCCCACCTACAGACAAACCCACTATATATATATATTGTTTCTCACGTCAAGAGAAACAAATATTGGATAAAGGTCATAGTTATTAGTTATGTTTTTGTTACGCTTTGTTTGACATTTTTATATTTATTTTGATAGTTTTCTTTTCAATCATAAATAATTAAATGATGAGTTATTAAATAGACAAACCATGAACGACTATTTAAGAGTTTTTATAATCAATTAATTTGAAAGAATAGGGTTAATTGCATGGTTGGTCACTGAGATTACGAAAAACGTTCATGTTTGGTCACTGGAAATATTTAAATCCATTGATGGTCACTAATTTTAGTGAAAAAGTTCATGTTTGGTCACTCTCCGTTAGTCTCCGTCAACCTCCGTTAACACCGTCAATTTTTTGCTGATGTGGCTAACAGAATTGATGACTCACCCAATTTTAACCTGAATAAACCAGAATCCGACCCGCCATGTCATAAAAACTTTAACCTATGACCCAACCCAATTTAAACCATTACGAATTAAAACCGGCCACCTGACCCAGCTTTCTTCCCTACACCTCCCGACCCACCTGTTTCTCCCTTGCTGAACAAAGTCCGTCCAGATCTATTTTGATCCGACGAAACTCCGTCGACCATCACCATCCTTCACCGACCTCGTTTCCTATCACCACCGCCATCGCCTTGTCCCCGTACGTTGGAGTCTTGGAAATCACGAGGAGCCTGAGAGGATAAGCAAATCTGCAAATGTCCTCTACCATCTTTCCCCATCTATCACCGGCAACAAATCCCAAAGATCCCCTAGGAACTACTACTTCAAGCTATGGCTGCGACTGCTGCTTATTCTGGAGTCATGCGAAGACGGCGAAGGGAGGAATCATAGTGAGGAGGGATTTTGAACTAGAATATGAAATTGGGGTTCTAGGGTTAGCAGAAGCAGATGATAGATAGGAGATTCATCATCGGCAGCCACGTCGCCGCTTCAATGAGCTCCGCGAGATTCACCGATAATCTGGGATAAGGGTTTTGTCAATTAGCTCCTCCAGATTCATCATCGGCAGCCACGCCGTCGCTTAAATACCCGTATGCTTACTCTGCTCCTGCTCGACTCGGCACGGCGGCGGGATCACAATTCTTATTCTTCTTGCAGTCGAATCGAAGGTAGCCACCACCTCAATACCATTTTGATTCATTTGCTCTCGCCCCGTCTTTCTGAATCTCGACCTACGACGAGTCCTGATTGGGGAGGATTTGTTGATTTGGATCCGTGCATCCTTCTCTCGACGTCGACAGAAAGAAGACAGAAGGGCCGGCGATTCCGAGCCACTATCCAAGCTTCTCGTGACTCTTGTTGCCGGAATTGGAAGACAAAATCTCCGGCTGGTTGATGATTGAACTGTTGTCGGGGATACTATGGTGGTTGAAGCTCCGGCTTCTTGTGGCCCTTCTTTCTCTCGATTCACTGCTTTCTTCCTCTGATAATTTTCCAGTCAAAGTGATGGAAATTTTTCCTACAGTGGAGATAGATTGATTTGTGCGGGGATGAAAACTCCGACGCCCCGATCTCGGTCCAGTTACAAGCGTTTATCAAGGGAAGAGGAAGACGAACTGAAAAAAACCCTTAAAAAATCCCCGAAAGCGACATAAATAACATAAATAACATAGATGAGTGGGTGGGTTGGGTCTGTTCAGGTTTGGTTAGGTTTAGCTGACATGGCGGGTTTAATTGACGTGGCGGTCAATTTTAGGGTCAAAAGGTGCTGATTAGGCGAATCCGTCAGCCACGTCATCACTTAACGGAGGCCGTTAACGGCGTTGGACGGCAGCTAACGGAGAGTGACCATAAATGAACGGGTTTTGTAAAGTTAGTGACCACAAATGGATTTAAATTTTTTCATTGACCAAACATGAACGCTTTTTGTAATGTTAGTGACCAACCATGCAATTAACCCGAAAGAATAGGATACACATTGTTACGTTGCTTTCAAATAAGTGAATAACATTCCGATTTACGAGTTAGTCACAAAAGCAGTTTGAGAGAAGGAGAAAGGAAAAAACTATTCCAACAAAGACCGCTACGAGGCGCACAATTAATCTGACCGTCAAAGACCGGTCAAACCAAAACCCCATCAAAGATAAAAGCGGGAAGAAACCTCACCCCGAATATTCCGCGTCCGCGCTCCGTGATCCGTGAGCGTGAAGAGCACTCTCTCTTCTGCAAAGCCCTCAACCGTCCGATCTCTCCCATATCCCTCCCAACCAACTCAATCGACGGCCATATTTCGCGGTTTGACTGGGAAGCGACCAAAGTATTGGGGAGAGGGGGGAAAAAGCCCCTCTGAAGAAATGATTGGCCGGGGTTGGAGGTTTGACCAGACCAACCACGAAGAAAGAAAGGCAAATCAAATTCTAAATAGGAAATGCTAAATAAGAGCAGAGAGAGAGAGAGAGAGAGAGAGATTGTTGTTGAAAGACATTTCAGGCAGCATAGATAGAGAGAGAGAGAGAGAGAAGGGAGGTTAGTCGTTGGTTCCTCGTTTGGTGGTGGTGGCGAAACGCCCGAAGCTGGGAGCCTGAGAAAATTTTCCCCAAATTCCATCATATTGGAGGTTTTTAGGGATTGGCCAACTATCAGCCTTCGTTCTCCCGAAAGCTTCCCCTCCTCCTTTGGCCTTTCCCCTCCTTTCTCTCTCGCGCTGCTCTGTTCAATCGCGGAGGAGAGAGGAGGTTTCCCATTTCCCGCTCCCCACATTCCATTTTCGAGAGAGATCGGTTCTTGTTGTTGTTTCTGTATGGTATGAATTGGGGATTCTAGAGAGGAAACTTATTGTTGTGCGTTAGGGGGTTTTCGCATCTCTGCTGGGAAAAACAAGGATTGAATTGCAAGGAAAAGAAGAGGGCAAGCAACCATGAATGTGATGCGTCGTTTGAAGAGCATTGCCTCTGGTCGTACATCCGTCTCGTCTGATCCCGTGAGTCCCATTCCTCTTCTTTTGCTTCTGGGGCGCCGAATGTTGGATCCTTTTCCTTTACCTTACTTAGCATTTCATCACTTTTTTCCATTATATTATACTTGAGATTTTGATTGATTTTTCTGGGTTATTCTCCCAATCTCGATTAGAGTTCCCTAGTCGTCTTGGCTTGTTTTTCTTTCTGCACCTTAATTCAACGATCTACGATAGGAATCTTGTTCGTATTTGTTTATTTCATTTGTAACCAAATGCCGAGAGCTTGTGATCTGGGTGCTTAATTCTCCATTCCAGATTTCAACAACCAAAAAGAAAGGCTTTCATTTCTGAAAAAAAAAAAAAAAAAGGATGGGTCGTTTTCTGGGAGCAAAGAGTGGGTCTGATAATTTGATTTGGATGATACAGGGCGCGGATCCTGGGACAAAGAGGGCCAAGGTGGACCAAGAAATAGAGCAGAAGAGCCATAATGAGGCGCATCTAGTTGAAAGGAATGCCACTGGGCTGGAGCAGAATGCAGCTTCAGCATCTCTTAATGCTCCAGTTGGTACATCTCAGCAATCTTCCAAGACCAAAAAAGAAAATACGGGATATGAACAGCTTCCCCATGAAATGCACCAAATGAAGATCCGAGATGATAAGGCTGCCAATACCGACGACAAGGTATCTAGTTCAATGTTGCCATCATGTCTCCTTCCAGACCCATATCTTAAGCACCATATTTGGATTCGTGGTGTTTTAATGCTTAGTGATAGCAATAACAGTTTCTTCTTCGTTTTCTTATGCATTATTCAGGAAATGGGGGCTGCTGTTGTGAGTGGTAATGGGACTGAAACTGGTCAGATAATTGCAACCACGATTGGTGGCCGCAATGGACAGCCAAAGCAGGTAACAGTTGCACTCTGCTGTTTGAATATATTGGTTGATTTGTATTCTGTTGATGGATAATATCAACGGTTGGGACCTTTCCCGTCTGATTGATGGTTTTCTCTGGATCTTTATGCAAGCAGACAATTTCATACATGGCAGAACGTGTGGTTGGTACAGGCTCTTTCGGTGTGGTTTATCAGGTATGTGTCCAAGCAGTAAAACAAGGAGTTGTTTTCCCTTTATCACTTATCACTTACCACTTACCAGTTATCACCCTCCTTTTTTCTAATTCCTTGTGTTTCACATAACTCTTGTAAAACAGGCCAAATGCCTTGAAACTGGTGAATCAGTTGCTATAAAGAAGGTGCTTCAGGATAAGAGATACAAGAACAGAGAGCTTCAGATCATGCGCCTTCTGGATCATCCCAATGTTGTCCAGATCAAGCATTGTTTCTTTTCAACTACTGATAAAGAAGAAGTATACCTTAATCTTGTTTTGGAGTATATAGCTGAGACAGTCCACCGAGTGTCGAGGCACTACAGTAGAATGAACCATCAACACATGCCTATCATATATGTGCAACTTTACACTTATCAGGTAAGGATTTTGAGATTCTGATTTTGAATCATTTTTCTTTCCCATTTCGACTGGCTACTAGCATTTTTTCATCAGTGACAGGAACTCAAGTCTAATTAGGTCATCTTGCAACTAACTTTTTGCAGATATGCCGTGCTCTAAATTATTTACATAATGTTGTCGGAGTATGCCATCGTGACATTAAGCCTCAGAATCTATTGGTAAGGGCCTTTGACATGCTTCTCCTTGTAAATTATACTAGTTACTGATAGTCTAGTCTTGGTACTAACTTTCTTTATCCTGATTCCTTTTGCTCAGGTCAATCCCAATACTCATCAACTAAAGATATGTGACTTTGGTAGTGCGAAGAAGCTGGTATGTTGTCTGAGCACTTCTTCCTCGTCTCCCTTATCTCATTATTTCCTTAGAAGAAGATTGAATAACTCTAGATTCTCACATTTGGGTTTGATATCTCTAGGTCCCGGGTGAACCCAACATATCCTATATATGCTCTAGGTATTATAGGGCTCCCGAGCTTATATTTGGGGCCACCGAGTATACCACTGCCATTGACATGTGGTCTGCTGGATGTGTATTGGCTGAGCTTCTCCTTGGACAGGTTTGTCTTTGCTGTTGCCATCTCTTCCTGTCAGTCAATGTCCACATGGATTTGTCAATGCTAATTGGGGCTGGCCTTCTTTTTTCTAGCCAATGTTTCCCGGAGAAAGTGGCGTCGATCAGTTGGTGGAGATTATTAAGGTGTGTTAACTTACACAACTACATGAGTCCATGAGTCATCTCTTCTGTTTGGAGTTGTGCTTTTCTCTAATCGGCTGCTTTCAATCAGGTTTTGGGGACACCAACCAGGGAAGAAATTAGGTGCATGAATCCAAATTATACAGAATTCAAGTTCCCCCAAATTAAAGCTCACCCATGGCACAAGGTCTGCTAACAATTTTGTTCTTAATTCCTTTTGCTAGTATTCCTGTGTGTTTGTAGATTATAATGACCATTTGATTGTTAAACGATATAAATTGCAGATCTTTCACAAGAGAATGCCCAATGAAGCAGTGGATCTGGTGGCAAGGCTGCTCCAATACTCGCCTAATCTACGTTTTACTGCTGTAAGTAATTTAGTTTAAGAGCAAATGAGAAACCTTTTTTGGCATTATATATGTTAAATACTGGTGAGTTAAGCTGTTTAATTTTTGGTGGGGTTTCTTTCAGTTGGAAGCGTGTGCTCACCCTTTCTTCGACGATTTGAGAGACCCAAGTGCATGCTTGCCTAATGGTAGAGCTCTACCTCCTTTGTTCAATTTTACAGCTCAAGGTAAATCAAATTTTCCGACTCAGTATATAGTGTTCATATTCTCCCCAGAATTCCAGTCTTCAGATTTCTCATGCCAAAGTAAAAAAAATTGTTTCGCCCTGCAGAATTGGCGGGTACCTCAACTGAACTTCGCGAACGACTCATTCCGGAGCATGCAAGAAAAGACTAATGAACAAAGTGCTAAAGAAAAAGCGGCATAACTAGTCTTCAAAATTCCTTTTGACTTATCATCACAGATAATCCGAGATCGTTACTTGTCAGGTTAAGATAGAAGGAAGATGAAAGTTTGATGAGGAAAGGATAGAGACAGGAGGAGGATGGAGAAGCTGATGATTATTTGATAGATGGTGTTGATTGTGTTCTTTGATGGTGGCTGTAAATGAAATGGAACTAACTACTTCTACTGAGGCGAGGCAGGCAGGCAGACGAGGCTCTGATTGATTGCGCTCCAGAGTTGCCCACGAATTGATCAAATTACTTTAGGGAAATCGTGTGATGGACTAATGGCTCATTTTTCACATTTTTTTTTTTTTTAATGTTCTGATATATGATTTATGGGTATATTTCGTTACGACCAAACTATATTGGTCGTGTTAGATTGATTAGGATTTGTTTGCTGATGTACACCTTTTTCCCCAAGTATCGGTGTTACAATGAAAATTCAGATTGTTTCAGAAAATCAAGCTCCTTCAAGTTGTGTCACTCTCATTTTCTGCATTCCCTTCTTTTTCTGTGGTTTGCTCAAATTGCGAATTGTCAGATATTCGGTTATACTCTTGAAGCTGGCTGTCAATCAGAGCGAATGATGAAGCCGAAACAGAACCCTCAGCTTGGCAGAATCCAAAAGAATAGCTATGCACTCTTATCTTCTTGTTTCTGTGTCAAGGGGGAAAAAGAGCCCTGTACTGCTCATTATCCCGCTGGTAAAGAATCTAATGAGCTAGCTAGGCAAATGGCGGAGAAAGGAAGGTATAATTATTTTCCTTTAGTTTACTTGCTTGTGAAGTTATGTTACATTTGCAAGTTGTGAATATGTCTATGAGCTATAAAGTTAATCAATAATGATTTCGAAATCACTTTTCGATTGTATTGCATTGAAAAAAAATTTAGTTGAAAAATAAGCGATGAATGTTATGTACTTCATCAAATCCATTGTGTCTCAATCTGAAAGTCATAGGAATTGTGTATACTTCATCAATAAATTTTTAATTAATTAATAATATTAATTTTTAACTTAATCCTGGATTCGTCGTTGCCCCATTGGTGTGATGGCCCGCTCCTAGTTAATATTAAAGTTGTGTGCATATAGGTAATATGATAGGATTATGAAGCAAACAAAAAGTGGGTTTGCTTACCAAGTGAATTGGTCTCTCTACCAAGGTCTTAAGTCCAAATCCTTCGGATTCCTCCACCCCAATATAGCTTGTTGTTCGTGAATTGGGATAAGGCAATCTAGCATTATTGTCCTGACATGGGGAAAATGTGGGTGATCTCAGCATTTCCTTAGATTACCGGTATACTGGTAATTAACTAACATTTATCGTTCCCTAGAAGCAAAATAGGCTATTTCCAAGGTTGTCACCCCGCGGGTTGACTCGGACCCGGTTGAGCTAGTGGGTCAAGGGTTAATGGGTCACCTGTTTTAACCCGATTTAGCCCGGAAATATGGAAAGCGTCATAATATTGTACTTATCCTGATAAATTATATAAAATCTCATCTAACATATGAGTTATAACATATAATATTACACCAAAATAACATGTCGTACTTAGAGATTCAACATATAGTGAAAATTCACACACACTTATATAACATTAATATTCAAATGTATTCCAAAGATTGAGTTAGGCGAAAAGAAAAATCGGAAAATAGGCGCATTTCGCAAAACAAAGAAAAAAAAATGACACAATTTGACCTCCAACCCGGTACCTTGTAGTGGTCGTTTCGACGGGTGCGTGCGTCCCGTTTTCTCACCGGGTCAGGGTCAAAGTGGGTCAACCCGTTTTCCCCTAACCCTGTATCGATGTGACGTTGTGATACCCTAGCATGATTAACACTTAGCATATACTGTAGGGAGATTTAAGCTAGATAGGAGTCCCTATTCAAGTTGTCATATCTCTCCCGATTGGACTAAACGGAGAGGCGTATCGAACTATCGACCTAAGCAATTGGGACAACCGAATCCACTCCACATATTAGTAAAGACCCAAAACGATGCAAAGAGTCTAATCACACTCGTTCATGGACCCCATGTGTTGATTAGGCAATGCTCTAAACTAACTCTTAGGAGATATTCTCTTAACTAGGTTAATTAGCCCCAAATTTAGGGAAGTGATTAAGAACATTCCATTTAAATGAAAAATGCACAAATTAATATATAATCAATCACACAAATCAAAGCATAGGGTTGACAATCATTGAACTATAACATATTAGACTAGGGTTCTACATCATCCAAGTGAATTGGAGGACTACTGCATGGCTAGATTGAGAAAAACAACCAAATAGAATCGTATGATCATCATGCTGAGAAGCTCATCTTCCTTGACTTGGGATGGTCTTGGAGATGAAATCAAGCTTCCTTGGTGATGGGTAGCTTCAATACTTCTCCAATCTCACTATGCTCCTAAAGAAGCCAGCCTCCCTTCAAATATGATTTCTCTACTCTTTTATACCCAGTAGTGTAGAGTTCACAGTCGCCCGCCATGCCCATGAACTGTGCAGTGAAACCGTGATATCGATTGAAAATGGCCCGTTTCACTCACACATTTTACAAGGTGGTTGTAATATTCACGCCCTGAAACCGTGAACCATGTACCTGCCCCGAGACATCTTGATCCTCCTAGGGACTTTTAATGTTCAAGGTTTTGGGGTAATCTTCACGCCGTGAGATAGTCAAGATTTTTTTTGGACCGTGAAGCTTGACATTTCCAGTACTTGGTCCCTTTTTGGCTCCTTTTTGTCCGAATTTCGATCTTTTCTCCCATTTAACCTGCTAGAGCCTGAAACACACCACTAAACCTAGCATAAAATGGCTCCAATGACGGCGCTACACAAGCCAAACGACAAATAGCAATGCGTATAAATGTGTATAATTAACTTGACTCGAATCATAACCCCGATTAACCAATTATCCAAACATATTAAATTTGAGCTTGGTTAATATAGTCATTATATTACGTTAGTAGGTTTGGCTAAGATATTATATTTTTATGGTTAATGTAATTTAAACTTAATTAGTTTGTTGATCAGTAACCGTGGTAGAACGTACACCCCCCGACACATATATTAAGATACTGATCGTGAGTCCCTTCAGGCTTCATCAACAAACCTTATTAGGTAATCGAAGTCTACTGTCACAAATTAATCAGTCCATAAACACAAAGAGAGTTGTAGTCTTGACTTGTGGTATCATGAGTTCATGATAGGATGATGGTGTAGGTAGCATCTTCTCATCTGATAGGTCTCCGTCATGCATGATGTAAAATGGAGAAAAGGGAACATGATAGACTGGTTTGACTTTCTAAGGAGCATATAATTGGACTATTATATAGGCAAAGAGTTCCTTTTCACATTACATACAGGCCAATTTTGACGAAAGAAAACAGTATATTGTCCCAACTTCCAATTATTATAACCAGCAGCTAGAGAGTCAACAGAGTCGTAACTTATATTTCTGCTTTCCATACGAGTAATTATCAGCACTACACCAATATTTTGAAAATGGTAACCTACCATCTGATCAGATCGGGAAGACCTTAAACCGCTAAGTGATTTGAGCGGTGTGAAACGATTGAACCACGATGAAATTATAATTTTAATACAAAATTTTCTATTCATGACATTTTTTGTATAACATTTGGTACGATTTCATAAAGTTTACTAGTTTAGGATATGGTGAATAACCCTAGGGTGCATATTCCTTACATAATCAAATTTGTGCCTTTGATTTTAAGTGGAGTCGAATCTTATGGTTGAGAATAATTGACTTTTCTATTGTCCATAGTTTTGTTAATCGACTTATGTCTTCTTCATTATTTTCCATAGTTTTCTTAACTCGAATTTTGAAAAATTTTATCTAGAAAGAATAGGTTCATCGTGATCAGTAGGATCTACAAATTTCTATGGGGAAAATTCAGGACCAAATATACTACCAGTACCACCCTAGCATAGGGTGGTAACTGGTGGTAGCAGTGAAGGATCCAATAATTTTATTTAGGAGTGTCCTCTCTAAAAAAACTAATTTTAATTAATAATTAAATTAAATAATTATTAAATATGAATTTTCCGACTAGTAAAAGTTACAATAAAAGTTCAAACATGTTTCATATTAAGAAAAATAGTAAAAATGCATTCGGTATCTACACTGCTCAACAGTTCTCTCTCGGTATATCCTACAAGACAAGGGTTTGGGGGATAAGAATAGCCTTTTACTATTATATTTGGATCTAAAACACAACAGCAAATGAGTTATAATCTAATGGCCTGAACTTTGACCAAAATAAACATTTTGACCAATCTTTTCGATCTATAACATCCTGGCCTGAACTATACACAAAAATAAACAATTTGGCCGAAAAAAATGACCGCAGGTATTTTAAAATTCTAACCCGCTCGGCTGATATAGACACATGCATGCCATATATATTCACTCTCCCGGTAGGAAAAGACCAAATTAGAGAAAAAGGAGTTCCAAAGAAAGAAGCAGCACATGCAGGACCAATATTATGAAAGTTAGCTCGAGAGAGCTAAGACTTGTTGCTGTTCGTTCGTTTTGCGTTGCATAGACAATATCCTTACCATGTCACAAGTCAACCCTTTAAGGGGTTCAGTTAAAGGACGGGGACCTTCGGCCCTACTGCTGCTGCGTACACTCACGGGCGGTTACTTACAACATTCACTAATTTCAACTGCAGTGTAGTGTTTCACATTTGCCAACCTATTTGGCTTTGTTTTTCGCTTTCCCAAAGTAGTTAATTCTTTCACTCACTTTCAGCAAAATAACCCCTGCCCCCTTGCAACCAAAAACCATATATCCATCCACCCAACCCAATTTGCGATTGTAGTGTCAATACAAAAAAATCAGCCCGATCCGATCCGGTTAAAACCGTGGAAAACAGGCTTCATCATCCATTGAGAGAGAAGTCTGTTTGTCAAGATCCTGTTAATTTATAGTTTACTTATGTGGGCTTCCATCAAGAAAAGCAGGCTTGACGTGAGATTGACCTTTTAAATATGAGGTATTTCACTTATTTGTTCATATTTGCATTATAGTTAGAAAGATTTCTATCAAATATACGAGACGAGTAAAAGTTTAAAAAATTTAATACTTCCGCCTCTACCCACCATTACGCCTCTACCCATAAACAATACTTTTGCTTGCTTGCATTGCTCTCGAGTTACAGTTTTAACTTCATTCCTTAGTTCGTCGTCGGTCGGTCGAGAACATCCATCAATTATCGACTAAAGCAACAATCGAATCCTTTAGAATAGCGACGGTGTTTCGGTGTTCCCTGGAATGTGACCTTGGTTAAGAAATAAGAAGTTACCACTATACTTCAATACGTATCTATAGTAGTATACTCACACTGAAGAGGGTTGATAGTAAAAATCGCAAAAAGAAATAGTATCCCGTGTGTGTGTGGCCAATGTTGTAGGTTGTATAGCATAAATGGGAGCTCTGAGTCTGAGGAACGGGGTACCCACTCCACGGGACAACGGGATAGCGCCAAACCTCCCGCATTTAATTCATAGTTACGCTTCCTTCCGCGCCCCCACTGCCTTCATTTAATGCCCTGCTGCGGTGCGGCCCCAATCTACCCCCGTTCGTTTTTATGCATGCCTTGCCGACACCAATTGCAAATTAGGAACGGCTTAAGCTGCTAAGGGTAAATTGCAAAGGTTGGTTACTGGGATTACTAAAAATGTTCATGTTTGGTTACTTGAAATATTCAATTTCATTCTTGGTTACTAAGATTAGTTAAACCTTCCAAGTTTGGTCACTCTCCGTTGACTTCCGTTAGTCTCCGTTAACGATGTTTTTTTTTTTTTGTTGATATGGCTAACAGGCATGTCTAATCACCCAATTTAACCCGACACATCATATAACCCGACCCCGCCACATCAGACCCACTACATAACCTAACCCAACTTAATTCAACCACCAACTCGGCCCTCTCTTCTTTAACATTTTAGGCAAAAATTGACCTAAATCTCGCCTCATTTTGATATTACAAACACTTCGTCGTGATTTGGAACACGGACGAGGAAGTGGGTTGGCCACCGCCAAAGCCGCTAATCTCAATCTCCCACCTCGAGCCCCTCCCTCTCCAACTGACATATTCGGACGATTCTTCGTCACCAAATCCACCACCGTCGCAGTCTCCTCAATCACCATTGAGATCTCCATCGGCTACAAGCTCCCCGACGTCATTCTCTTCTACTCTCTCCGATGGCGATCTCTTGATCCCGATGACTAGACAGGTGTTGGAGACGTGACGGGTCGAATTTTACCATATTTGAATTAAATTAGGTTTGACTAGATGATTCCGTCTGGCACATCAGTACACAACAATCTTCTTTAACGAAGACGGACGAAGACTAACTGAGAGTGATCAGATTTGGACTTTTTTTTTTTAACTAATCCTAGTAACCACAAATAGAATTAAATATTTCTAGTGTCCAAACATGAACGTTTTTAGTAATCTCAGTAACCATCCTTCCAATTTACCCTTACATAATAGTTAATTGATGAAACCTTATAATAGTTTTTTGCTTGCATAACTACAAATTCTACTATCACAATTAACAAATCAAGGAAACCTTAACCTTTAGCAGCAGCAAGTCTGCTGCATATTCCATTTTCCAAAATTAATTAAAAAGTATAATTATAACGAGGGTAGACCTGAGTCAATACCCGAACCACCACCCTTGCCTTGTGCTAAGGACACAACTTCTCATGGAATCCTTACCACCATGCAAGGAGTTTACCCAAACGCGGTTGGTTCGTTCTTGACTCCACCACCCAAACCCAAACCCAAACCCAAACCCAAACCCACTCGCTTACCTCACTTAATAATCCCGCGCGTAACGTACCACCACCACCACCACTTGCAAAAGTTACTCCCACCTCAACCACCAACAACAAAACCCAAATCTCCCATCAGCTCTCGCAATGAAGTGCCGCCTTGATCTTCTGGACGGTGCAAGATATCAGGTTATTCACCGTCTCCACCGACTCCACCGTCAGCTTCGCCGTCGGCAGGCTGTTCACCAGTATCTGAAATGCCACAGTCAGCAGGGAACCGCTCACCCTCTGCCCCCCCTTCTCATCTCCACCACCCGACGGAGACCCGCCGCCGCCGTCTGGGCCATCGGGAACGATGGCAAACCCAGACGGGAGGAGGGCCACGTAGGCCGAATCGCCACCGTTCATCACCACGTGCATCGCTGGAATGTCGACGGGCGCGTACACCACAAGCGACCCCGCCGCGTCGATGCACGTCTCCTGCAGTATTAGCATGCTGCTCTGGTTCGCGTTCATCGCCTGCATTGCATGCCCAAAACATACCCACAAAAATTTCCAGCAAAAAAATCAAAATTATTATAACGATAAATAAGAGACAAAAAAGCTGTAAAAAAAGTTAGAAAGCTGACAAAACGTTTTTTCTTTTCTTTTTCCCAGCCTATATTTTTAACCATTTTGACTTTTGTAACACTTGACGTAAAGAAACTATATTATGTCTGTCCCCATTTCTATTCCAGAACCCGCCAAATTAAATCCCGTCTTCTTGGTTACTTCCAAGCCTACACCACCCCTCTCCTCTGACAAGATCTGAATCGGATTATTCACCCAAGGGCTCGATAAGTCCTTTTCAGTTTTCCCCCCACCCTTTCAAATACACTGATTTCTATTTCTGTTATTATTTTCAATTTCAACCAAAGAAGAGACGAGAGAACTGAGAGAGAAACTGGTTTTTGTTGGAAGCACTTACGCTAGCGCGGAGGAGGGAGACGCAGTTGCCGTGGTCCTGGCCCTTGGCGATGTGGGCCATCTCCTGCATGGGCCCGCCGTTGGACAAGATGTCCCACTCGCTCCGCAGCCGCTCGTCGCGGAGGAAGTCAAACAGCCGCTGAGGGGACACCGGCAGCCACACCGACGTCGCCGCGCTCAGGACGATCCCCGGCGGCTCCCCTGGGTCGTCCACGCTCTTCCTCGTCATCACCCGCACGTCCTCGTCCACGTTCCCGGCGTTCAGCTTGTTCCACTTGTGCACCGTCGAAGCGCACACCCCGGCGCAGAAGTTGTCGGTCATCCTTTGCGCCAGCTTCAGCATGCTCCGCCGCCCGCCCGCAGTTATCGCCGCTGTCCTCCACAACCCATTTTTTTTTCCTTCAGTTCCCAACATATTTTGTCATGGATTATAAACACTAAATTAAATGTTTCGGTTCTGTTAGTTACCAGTATGGTCTCTTGAGGGCACTGCAGAAGACATGAGAATTGCTAAACACTCGCATTGGCGTTGGAGGGTGGCAACCCATCTTTGCGCACCGAAGCCCATGCCGGAGCCTATCAGCGGCCGGTACAGCTGGTGGGTTTGAGTTTCATCGTACTCTGCGTGTTCCACCCACGTCACCTGCAATTCATCATTCATCTTTATTATCAACTTTATACGATTAGCCACAAAGCTTTGTTGGAGTTCAATGTTATTTAATGACGGCAGGTGAAGAAGACCAAATAAAATTAATTACTGGTTTTTGACTCTCTTTTAACTTAAATAAATAACAACAGAAAACAAAACAAAATGCAATTAATACAAACATATGTACATGTCAACAAGCCGTTATAAAATCAACTACTCGGCATTAAACTTATAATTCAGAAGCAGCTAGCTAGCTCGTCTTTTTGGAGATTAATATTATAGTTCAACCTGCCAAATCTCTCATGATGCGATGTCATTCGTGAAGAGTCAAAAAAGAAATCGTTTTGGAACAGACAAAACACTAGAGTAAGATCTGGGAAATGTCTCGACTGGGTTAGGGCTCAAGGAGAAGTATGGGATCAAATATAATTAAGTAACGGGTATCATTAATAATATAACAATGGTTGAAATAAATAGATTTTGCAAAGATTTGGAGGGAATGGAACCAAAGACCCAACTACCTACTTCACTCCCACTACCCTCATTGTTGAGTGGGGAGGGTGACATCGAGATGTGTACTACTACTATACTCCCTCTGAATGAATTATGATTTTTATATAAAATATATGCATTGCATGAGCTTGGAAATCCATGCTCTTTTCATATGGAAACAAAATAGCCCAGTCTTTCGGGGTCTGACCATGAAATGGAGTTTCCTCTCTGCTATTATTATTATGTTAGTAGCAGAATACAACAAAAGCGAAATCATAACCCATGAGGGATTGTCGCCATGTCATACAAAATATGTTATTAGAAGATTGCGGGGTAACCAAGACAGCATCAGAGATTGGAATAGAAACATCAAATGCATTGTTTAATGAAACCAAGGTTTGAAAGATCGATTATTATGAAATCAATGTGTCCAAAACACAGCAAAGTTTTTTGAGCAATGGAGGCTTCTATTCATTTTCAAAGCTGATTTTTTTACATATATATAAAAAAAAAACCCAAACAATACCCAATGCCAGAAGCAATGAATGCGGCAATCTCGGTTTGCTAATTGCTATGCTGCCAATATTATCATATTATAAAACTCAGTATAGATGTTGAAACTTGAACTATATACACATAAACAACTAATATAACCCCAAATCAACGACTACTCACATAACAAGCAGTGCAAGGAAGGTTCATTTTTCTCTGGGGAAACTAAAACTTAATCCAAAGAGGGAGGGAAAAGGAGCAAGTGACAGTGTGGTGAAGACAGTGAGTAGTCACTAGACAGGCAAAGTTCTTTGATGGGTGAGCAGAACTCAAGCATATTAAGCGGGAAAGGAAAAAGAACAAAACAAAACACTTTTGGGAATCCAAAATAGTCAATGATTTTCGAGCTGGTGTTTCTCCACAAAATTAAATGCTCTCTTTCTAAAATTTGGAAACAACCTATGAGCTACCATAGTATGGCTCAACCAATTTACTTCAACTAACTCAATAAAGGAGGGAACACCCACCTAGAGAGAGATGATATAAAAGTTAACACCACCAAAATGTAGATATCACAGTTCATAAATGGAGAAAAAAGTTATTTGCTTACCTTGGAGTAGCCATTAGGCATATCTTGCACCACACAGCCGGAAGGAAGCCTCCTGCAGCTGAGAAATGTCGGCGGCGCACCCGAAGTTTCTCGGATAGTGTCCACGGAAACATCAACAACAGCCCACACCCCTTCTGCGTGCTGTTTGCAGAACCGTAGGAAATTCACCTCACGAACCGGGACTAAAGGAGAGAGAACTTGGAGCTCAGCGTGCATCTGCAGACACATCTCACAGTTAATTGCTATTATTTTTCAAGACCTCATCTTTGGATTTATCATACAATTGTGCAGAACTAAGAACAAATGGGGACTATTCAAACCCAAGAGGCAAGAGTGCAAAGCTTAATCAATTACCAACTGGAGTGAGCCATTTCTAGTTCCCCCCATCCCATTGGATATGACGTCAGTGGTGGAGGTCCTGGCAATCATACATGGAAACATTTCTGCCCACCGATTCTGATAATCAAACAAGAATAATTAATAGAAGGGTCCGATTCCATTCAAATCAAACACCTAGAAAAATCTGTCGGCTTGGGACTGAAAAAGGGTACGAAATTAGATAACTTTATCTTACCGAGTCCATCAGAGTCTCGACAAGCGCCAAACTGTTGATAATCACCATACCAGTCTCCCTAGAAGCTTCAGAGACGAACCCATTTGGTTTCAAGCCGATACACGGAGTGAAAGTTCTCATATACTCTTCCTGGTTCAACATTTCCCTACTGCCATCCAAACTCTTGAGCCAAAGAGGCTCATCAGTTTGAGCCATTTTAACCAACTCATCCATGGCAGTCAAAGCAAGTTCTAAGAGCATAGATCTTTCCAGAGACCGGTCAAGCCCGGTTCCTCCATTGGACACCGCTCTATTTTGAGGAACTATAGACATAGCATTAGAAACAGTTCCGAAATGATCAGTTGGCCCAACAGGTAATGTTGCAGCCACAGTAGTCAATGAACCGAACCCATTGCTCCCAACTCCAAGCTCCAAACTTGAATCTGGCATAGGGGGCGGCATTGAAGCTGTTAATGAAGAAATGGGGCGACCCAAGAATTTCCCGGCAAGAGCACAAACTCGGTCAAGCTCATCTTTCAGCCTAGCATTCTCAATCCTCAGGTGCTGTTCCTCAAGAGAGATGTCGCCTATTATTGCAGGACCACCGCAGTTGGAGCACATTGGGTTCCTCATAGCATCTCTAATTGACATATTTTCAGCTCTAAGCTTGTCGTTTTCTTGCCGGAGTAATGAGTTCTCATGGCGTTCCAGTTGAGTCTAATCCGTGCCAAACAATACAAGGCATCTCAGCATACCAGGAAAAAAAAAACTAACTAAAACCCATGAAGAAAAAGGGAAGCACCCATCATTACCTTCATCTGGGTTCGACGATTTTGAAACCAGAACTTGACCTGCCTGGTTTCCAGGGAAAGTCTTCTGCTAAGCTCCAATCTCTGCTTCTCATCAGGATGAGGACACTCCTTGAAAAGCCTGCAAGTAGGACCAGTGAAACCAAGTTCTAAGGAAAAAAGAAGATGAGGAAGAGAAAGAGAAAAGTTTCGTGCGAGATAATAATAGTTTTAAATAAACTAAAAAAAGGAGAGAGTCCCATACGATTCAAGCTCTTGGATTTGCTGAGGAGTGTGTCGGTGGTATCGCTTCTTCTTGGGAGGGTGTTCAGCAGCATCCTGGTCATCACCAGAACCTCCATCCAAGTTATCACTCCCAGATCTGCTCTCGTGCTCCTCTTCTCTGCTTCTCATCCTCCCCAAGCTTGACTCGTAGTTCTCACTCATCCTCCCCATATCACCTTGACCGCCCTCTATATTCGGTTGTTGCTGTAAAACCACAGGCGAACAAAGCCAGCAAACAAAAAAAAGCAAACCCAGATCAGAAAAATGGCAGAAGATCGGGAAACCAAAAGAAACCATAACGAGGGGGGAAAGGTCCGTACAAGGGCGAGGGAGAGTCCAGGAGAGCTGAACATGGACTTGGAGAAAGAATTAGGAGAGAGGAGGTGTGGCTGGACGATTGCACCGGCAGGCATGGTGTTGTTCGTAGCGTAGGCCGGTATGTCAGCCACGATTCTCGCGCCACCACCAGGGCTACTGTTCTCAAGGAACCCTCCAAAACTCATGAACTCTTCCCTTCTTCTTCGTTCTCGGACTTGATAATCTATCTTTGCGTATATATATTCTATGCTCACTGTTCCTCTGTGAATGCGCTTCTTCAGTCAGGCAATTTATCAAACACCTAGGCTTCAACTGACAGCAAACACCCCCACACTTGTTCCGACACCCCCCCAAGAAACCCAAGCCAAAGGGAAACGGGTAGAAAGATGCCGTAAACACAGAAAAAAGTGCTCGGAAATGGAAAAGGGGAAATGACAGTGGAGAGCAAGAGGAGACAGAAGGATAACTTTGAATCCAAATGTCTCCAACCTCCTCTCCCTTCAAAACTAAACCCCCTTCGTTTTTTTTTTTTTTTTTTGGTTCTTCTGGGAGAGAAAGAAAGAGAAAGAAGGGCAAGCGAAGGAATGGGGGAAGCCGGAAGAGAGGACCCCTTTCCCCGGCTTTGTATCCTAGTTATTAACAAGCTCCAGCCTAGCGCTTCCTTCTCTATCCTTCTCCCTTCACTCTAAAGCCGAACAAGATCCTGTCAGGCAAGCTTCCTTGTTTGCCTCCAGCAGAGAAGAATGAAAAAATAGGGGAGCAAAATAAAAGCTAAGAAAGGTTGTGTGTGGAGAAGATGGGTGTTGTGCTTGTGGTGGTACTGCTGTGGGCGGTTATCTGCATGCTGCTGGAGCTCGACTCTCCTTTTCCATCTCTCTCTAAGCGACTGCAGAAAAGGAGAGAAATGGGGCGCAAGAAAGGTGTTTGATAAAAGGCCTAGGAGAGAGGGAGGGGAGAGAAATGATTTAAGAAAGGCGAAAAGGTTGAGGTCCTTTTTGTACAGAGAAGAAGATGGAAAGGAGGAGGCAGCGGACGAAGAAGAAAATGGAGGAAAAGGAAGAGAGAGAGAGAGAGAGAGAAGAAGAAAGAAGGTTGGGGAAGGGAGAGAGAGAGAGATGGATAAAACGCAAAGGTGGAGGATTATGTGGAGTCATCGAAGCCTTACAAATAAATACCGCCAAAAGGGATCGGGTTGACTCTCTTCGCCCTCTCAATATCCATCCTGTGATTGACAGTGAAAATTTTTGACGAATCTCTTTTTGTTTTTCTTTTCCGGAATTTTGTTTTTCTTTTCTTTTTCTTTTCACCTATAGTTTCCAGGACGAAGGGCAGCGGGGGGAAAAATGGCAGTATTGGGGGTGGGGGGTTTCTTTGTGACATTTTCTCACTTTCTACTTTCCCTCCATTCTTACTGCTATCATCTCAATCTCTCCTTTCCTACTGCTTGAATTTTTTTTGTTTACCTTTTACTACTTTTTGGTGGTGGTTCAAAAAGTGTCAAGACATTTCTTTTAGGGGGTGTTGCATTGAGTTAGAAATTCAGAATATAGCGATCGAGTACGATGACATTTAAGTGTGACCGAAAATGTAATTAGATGGAGCTAGTCAGTCAATATCAAAATGAGAAAATGGGTGTTTATAAATTTTCGCATGTCGCATCTCTATTTCTAGGGTTCTCATAGGGTCATGCTCTACGGGCATTTACTTTTTCCAAAATATAAGATTTATAGAAAAATCTCACGATACCACATTTACATAAAAAAAATAATTAAAATACACAAGTTTGGGGTGGTTAGTTACATTGTTCAACGATTTTGGGAAGCATATCGCTTCAGAAAGAATCAATCTAGCTGGATCGTTTTAATCTGGGCAATTTGCAGGTGGATCGCTTCAGTTTGGAACAATAAGCAGGTGGATCACTTCATACTAGAGCGACATGTTACTAACATATGTCAAAATTTTCATATGAGCGTAACTTTGCGTTCGGTTATCCGGCAGACAAAAAACGTTTTTTTTACACGGATTATAATTGTTATTAATATGCCTTTTCCAAAAGTTGTGCCCTTATAAAAGTTCTAGTACTTGAAAAGATATGCCAAACAAAAAAATATTGCCTCTTTTTTATGGCAGGGCATAAAATGGCTCATATGAAGCCGTAAACGACCTTATTTAGAAGATGAAGGTAGACTAAACATCATCTGGCATTTATGTTTTCTTAGATTTCAATCACTCTCTTCTTCTTTTGGGGGAGTAGGGTGTAGCCATTTCCGCCTTCCTACATTTTCATAAACAATCTTGATTGTCGCTTGTGACATCATGATTTCAATGCCACTATAGCCTTTCTTTAGCATGTCGCCTAGCATTGAGGGTTCTCCACTCTTCTCGAGTTGGACTGCCTTAAGAGAGCTACTTAGTTGAATCTTGTAGGTTTTCTCGTAAAGGAGGAGATGACGCACTTTCTCTCTCTGTTATACACTTTTTGTTCCTCGTAGGAAAACCAATCATCAAAGGAAATAGTCGATTTGCATGAATTTCTGCAATATGGTAACTTCGTTCTACCTTTCTCTATACTCCTTGCTTGGTCCAATGAGAACATTGTCTCATTTAAAGTGTGGGGTGTAATTTAGTTAGTACGTTCGTCATCGGATATACCATGATTTTTTAATGTTCGTGCATTTGGGGAAAGGGTTTTTGTGTATGCATTTGAATCAAAATTTCAAAAAATTTGAGTAATGCCACACTCTCAAAGCAAATTCAGAGTTCATCATACTTTGAATTGCTAGTCTCTATGTTAATACGTGATTTAAGGGAGGCTAATGTACGGGCTATGAAGGATGTCCTTGTCATGGAATTTGGATCTATCTTAAGAAAAATGTATGGATTGGTGCTTCTTACCATCCTTTTCGAGCTATCAAACTCATCCTCATAGGAAGGAGTCTTATGCACCTAAAGCAAAAATGGGGTTGATATGTAGTTTCGTACATTCTATATCCTACCACGTAAAGTCTACATACAAACGATGTCATTGCAAATAATAAAGTGTGGGGTAAAACGTTAAGTGTGTGGCGTCCTATCCTTGGAAAAAATCGAATTTAGAAGATATACTAGTTGAGTCTTTGTGGGTAGGCCCATGAGATGATGCTAGTTTCTCACTAGTACAAGTAAATTTTCCACCCGTATGATAGGATTGCCAACTTGAGGATGTGTTTTCGAGAGAATGAATAAAGCTTCTCACACCTCATGACTTCATTTACCCTCCGCATGATCGAGGAAAATGAGCTAAAAACTGCTCTTGCTCAATCAAGGCTGGCTAAGTAGACTAGTGGACCACTTGTCAGTCATAGGAACATTGAGATCCATGTTCTGGAGCCAAGATTCAAAGAGATGATGACATAAAGAAACGACGTTGCAACCGTCGTTTTACATAGCTCAACTACTTCGTTAGAAAGTCACTTTGGAGCCTCCTGATTCGCTGGTCACGTGTTTGGAGCCTTCTATTTGGTTGGATGACGCTTGAGCTATGAGATTTCCTCCTTAAAAACCTAATCAAATGCCAATAAACAGGCCTCTAGATATAGAAAATGGGAGGGAAAGAGACGAAAGGTCAAGGAAGGGTCGTTACCCTACTGACAGAGCAACCCTCCTGATTTAGAACGAGACCAGCCTTTGAGGGAGAATTGGCGGCCTAGGCCTTGTTTTCTCTGCTGGTGAGGCCAATTCCTGTGGACTTATGAGGTCTCCTTTCAATCGATGAACACCAGGAACCCCTCCCTATAGATGGCTAGTTCCTTACTTTCCTGCATCACGTTCTGCAAAATAAGAGGCACCTAAACCTCCTAAATCACCCTCTTCTTCAATAGAATCGTACCTTGCTTCCAAAGTAAGTGTTATGTGGGAGACTCTAGGGGAAATACGATACCTTAGAGCCATTTAAATTTGGATCTATTCTACAATACATCAAAGCTTCCAGAAGATTTCGTACACCCTAGGTATCTCTCCCTGACCTCTGTAAGGGTCTCGTCATCTTCATGTGCAAAGTGGTGAATTGCTTTTGTAAATCCGCAGTCTTGGAAGTGGGATGATAGCGGACCAGGAACTTCTTCACCAAGTCATCCCAAGAACTGATGCTCTCGTGTGAACTTCTTCACAAAGTGGTGTTTGCAGCAACTTGGGATGTCGAATACGCGGTCTGAGGTCCTCGAGCCTAGGAGTCAGAAAGTACCCAATGGTCTGGGCCTCTGGTTGTGGATGACCCGCATTTGGTACATGTGGCGGTTGGTCCGCATTCACGTTTCCCACTTGATTGAAGGGATCCCCCCCATGTATTCTTCAACGACGATTTCTTATCCACTCTATAATCCGTCAGCGATGATATCCTGGTCTAGGTCCTCCGACGCAACCAGTCTCTCTTTTAGTGCTTTCATGAACTAGTAAAGATTCCTTTCGAGCTCGTGATCCAATTGCAGTAGATTGTCCAACTGGCCACGGGTCATGCACTACCTGCACACAAGCTGAAAACCAAACATGTGAAGGCAAAAGGAGGAAGAAAGAAATGTGCAGAAAGTAAAGTTAAAGTAACAGAAATTCACTATTCTTCAATAACCTAGGCGTACTCGGCAACGGCCCCAAAAATTTGACTCGCTAATACTAACACCCTAAGAAATGACCAAGTGAAATCATAACTCAGGATAGTGGGTTCAGTTTTACTTATCAATTCGGGTCCTATATGTATCGACTACTCGAAGATTAACTATTATCTAGCGGTCAAAGTGTAGAGAAGTTGTTCGCATGAAAGCAGAAACGAAAGCAGGTAAATGTTCTGATTTCCAAATTCGAGAAAGACCACTCAGGTAAGCGTTCCCTGGTATGCAGTAAGGCTGAGTTGTAATTCACCCAATTCAATTCAGTTGATATTTATACTGTGGAAAGTACTGAGATAGTCTGGAACCTCGACTAAAATAGACGAGACCCTTTTAAATAAAGTACCCGACGGGATACTATCCTCCACCGAAATAAACTACCAAGACATTTTGATAACACTTTCTCTACTTGGTTTAACTCCAGTACAGAGCAATGAATCGATTGACTCTCGTGCAACTGATTCGCCACTTCAAATTCAGGTTGCTCTATTGACTTATTCAGAGGTTAAAGCAAGAATCATACAAACATGATCAAGATTTATATAACTCTAATTAATGCGTCAATTGAATATATAATCACCAATTGACTCTGATTAATGCCTAAATTGAATATATCTAGAGACTATAGTTCTAGTTCATCCGGTTTGTCCTCCAAAATCCCTGGCCTGGTAATTATGTCATCAGAACGGGAAATCGCTCCTATAATTATCCCCGGACTCCTCTCAAACATCCTCGGCTGGGTAATCAAGCCTTCATACCGGGAGATCTGCCTAGTCCAGCTCCTCTTGCTTGTTCGTCTCCAGCTTATCATGAAATCCGCTCCCAAGCCGCTTTATACGTTATAGGACCTCAAAATATCACACAAAGACAAAACCTAACCTAAAATCGATTTAATAGGCAATAATATGATCACAAACGCCTAAGATATGTGTTACTTTTTTATAGGTAAAGCTTAAGAAATGGGATACTAAATATGTGTAAATCAGGCGTTATCGATAATTACTTAATTAGGCACCCTGTGCACCAATATCATGATATCTGTCCAAAAATAAAACAAAAAAAACAGTAGAATCTCATATATCATGTAATCTTGAAATCCGTGGGTAGATTACATGCTTACCAAACGACTAGTAAGATAAAAGGAACAAAGACACCCATAGGCCATAGCCGGACTCTCTATATGGAGCGCGTGTGTAATAGCCTATAAGGTGTGAAGGTCCACAAGTTGGGCCCAATGCAGCTGGGGCATCTGCTTCTTTTCAATTCCAAGTCCGGTTTCCCACTTAACACAAACATGCAAATGTTGTTTGATTGTACCAATGACTCGACATGTTTTGGACATAACACGAGGATGGCTCTTTTACTGTTGTTATTATGTATATTACAATGTAACGGTGATCGAGTGCAGACGGCCAGACGCAAGGAATATTATTATGAATGGGAAATATGGG